ACTGTGCAACCAACAAGATGTCATCAGCAGTCACCTCTGGTTCAAGTGTATATATTCTGGGAGTGTCTGGTGAACATGTCACATCTGGTGTGCAGCGTGGAACAGTGGAAAGTGAGCAGGGTCCGGACTGGAGCAGAGCAGCTAGCAGATGGCACACATGGTGTACAACATGGGAACACTATAGCAGAAGGTGAGCGAGAACTGGAGAGAGAGGACTGAGCGGCAGAGGATCAGCAAAACTAGGGGAACAGAGCAGGAGAAACTAGCAATGTTACACATGGTGAGCAGCATGGGAGAAATATAGAGGGAGTTGGGTGGGGACTGGAAAGAAAGGAGGATCAGTAAACCAGAGGATGAGCAGAGCTGGGGGTTACTACTGGATGGAGGATAAGCAGAGCTGTGGGTTACTACTGAGAGAAGCATCAACAGAGCTGGGGTTTACTACTGACTGGGAGATCAGCAGAGGAGTGGGTTACTACTGAGGAGGGGGTTACTACTGAGCAGGGGATCAGAGCTGGGGGTTACTATGGAGTGGGTAATCAGTGGAGCTGTGGGTTACAACTGAGCAGGGGATCAGCAGAACTGGGGATTTCTACTGAGTGGGAGATCAGCAGACTTCGGGGTTACTTCTAAATGGAGCATCTGCAGAGCTGGGGGTACTCCTGAGCAGGGCATCTGCTGTATGAGTACTAATATGCTGGGGATCTGCTGAACAGAAGTACCAATGAGCTGGGGATCTGCTGAACAGGGTACCAATGAGCTGGGGATTTGCAGAACAGAAGTACTAATGAGCTGGCGATTTCCAGAACAGAAGTACTAATGAGCTGGGGATTGGCTGAACAGAATTACTAATGAGCTGGGGATCTGCTGAACAAAATTACTAATGAGCTGGGGATCTGCTGAACAAATTACTAATGAGCTGGGGATCTTGAACAGAATTACTAATGAGCTGGGGATTTGCTGAACAGAATTACTAATGAGCTGGGGATTTGCTGAACAGAATTACTAATTAGCTGGGGATTTGCTGAACAGAATTATTAATGAGCTGGGGATCTGCTAAGTGGGGGTACTATTAGGCAATTTTAAAACAATAGAAAAATTATTACACCCAGGACATTGATCACGCTTTATTAAAACATCACTGGAGCATCAAAAAAGCACACATTGAAGTAGAAGACGCTTTAATGTGGTAAAGTTGAAGCAAGTGTAAATGAGCCCTCAGTGGACATAAAAAGTCTATAAACCCCTGTTAAAATGTCAGGTTTCTGTGATGTAAACAAATGAGACAAAGATAAATCAATTCAGAACATTTTCCACCTTTAACCTCCCTAGTGGTCTGATTATGTCCATATTTCTGTGCTCAAAACGGTACTTTTTTTGCATGGAAATATGTATTATTTTAATTGTAGGCTTGTAATTTTTAGGAATAACTCACTGAAATCTGTCCGAACAAGAGTCTAGTAAATACCCCGCATATGTTAAAAATTGAAACACAAAATCATAAGTTATAATATAATAAATAATCAGAAAAAGTAATATAATAATAAATTTAATTCAATAATATAATCAAACCAAAAACACTGAAATTTGATATAAAGCTCCAAGTTCACACATCGACTGAGCAAAGTCGCAAAATTGTTTTCAGTGTCTGATGACGAATTTCCCCACAAATCATTATCACTCAATTCTGCAAGTGGTTCTGATTTACTATTGCTGTTCTCTAGCTGATCTAAAACCGATTTTGACCTAAAGGGACGCTTTTTGGATGCCATCGACGTTTCTCAGTTTCCAGGCACAAAGAATGGTAAAAAATGCAGGCAGGGCACAAGACAAAGCACTAGGGACAAAATGTATGTGAAATGGTTTGAGAAGTAATGTTTTACTATGTGATTTTAGTGAATTTAGTGAATGTCACTTTTTGTCATTTTCCAATTTCCCGCCAGTTCCGTCCCCGTACGTCCTGACGCTCGCAGGGGACGGAACCCAGATGACAGATGCCGGCATCCGCCGGAGGACAGTACAGAGGACACTGCAGGAGGGACATCGCAGGAGTGCAGGACAAGGTAAGTGATCGAGGGTTCCCGGAGCAGCACCGCATGGTATTCCCGAGTGTAGCTCGGGGTTACCGCTTGTGGTACTGAAACTTTACCCCGCGCTACACTCAGGAATACCGCCAGGGAGGTTAATGTAACCTAGAAACTGTAACTCATTTGAACAACAAACTGAAATCTTTTAGGTGGAGGGAAATAAAAATAAAAAACTAAAATAATATGGTTGCATAAGTGTGCCCCCCTAAACTAATACTTTGTTGAAGCACGTTTTGATTGTATTCCATCACTCAGTATTTTTGGGTATGAGTCTATCAGCATGGCGCATCTTGACTTGGCAATATTTGCCCACTCTTCCTTGCAAAAATACTCCAAATCTGTCAGATTGCGAGGGCATCTCCTGTGCACAGCCCTCTTCAGATCACTCCACAGATTTTTGATCAGATTCAGGTCTGGGCTCTGGCTGGGCCATTCCAAAACTTTCATCTTCTTCTGGTGAAGCCATTCCTTTGTTGATTTGGATGTAAGGTTTGGGTCGTTGTCATGCTGAAAGATGAAGTTCCTCTTCATGTTCAGCTTTCTAGCAGAAGCCTGAAGGTTTTGTGCCAATATTGACTGGTATTTGGAACTGTTCATAATTCCCTCTACCTTGACTAAGGCCCCAGTTCCAGCTGAAGAAAAGCAGCCCCAAAGCATGATGCTGCCACCACCATGCTTCACTGTGGGTATGGTGTTCTTTTGGTGATGTGCAGTGTTGTTTTTGCGCCAAACATATCATTTGGAATTATGGTTGAAAAGTTCAACCTTGGTTTCATCAGACCATAACACATTTTCCCACATGCTTTTGCAAGACTTCAGATGTGTTTTTGCAAAATTTGGCTTGGATGTTTTTGTTAGTAAGAAAAGGCTTCTGTCTCGCCACTCTACCCCATAGCCCAGACATATGAAGAATACAGGAGATTGTTGTCACATGTACCACACAGCCAGTACTTGCCAGATATTCCTGCAGCTCCTTTAATGTTGCTGTAGTCCTCAGACCAGTTTTCTTCTCATCATTTCATCAATTTTGGAGGGACGTCCAGTTCTTGGTAATGTCACTGTTGCACCATATTTTCTCCACTTGATGATGACTGTCTTCACTGTGTTCCATGGTATATCGAATGCCTTGGAAATTCTTTTATACTCTTCTCCTGAATGATACCTTTTAACAATGAGATCCTCTGATGCTTTGGAAGCTCTCTGCGGACCATGGCTTTTGCTGTAGGATGCAACTAAGAAAATGTCAGGAAAGACCTACTAGAACAGCTGAACTTTATTTGGGGTTAATCAGAGGCACTTTAAATGATGGCAGGTATTTACTGACTCCTATTTAACATGATTTTGAATGTGATTGCTTAATTCTAAACACAACTACATCCCCGGTTATAAGAGGGTGTGCACACTTATGCAACCGTATTATTTTAGTTTTTTGTTTACCTCCCAGTCCCCTAAAAGATTTCAGATTTTCAACTGAGTTGTACAGTTTATAGGTTACATTAAAGGTGGACAAAGTTCTGAAATTATTTATCTTTGTCTCATTTTTTTTTTACATAATAGAAACCTGACATTTTAACAGGGTGTGTAGACTTTTTATATCCACTGTACGTTCACCTTTCATAATATGTTGCTTCCATATTCACGGTGTAATATGTAGGAATAGACTGCACCCCCCCTTTGACAGCTAGTGGAGGATCTTCAGGCCACGTCACTCATTCAGTCTTCTGTGAATGAGAAACTACAATTACTGACAGCCTCAGCTGCTGTGGGGCACCGTGGTAGTTCATTGCTTCTTCCTGTCAGTATATCTGCCTACTTGTACATCCTATACGGACAAGCAGATCGGGACAGGTCTGCAGGAGACCTGATCTGCTGATCGCTGGGGCAATGGTTTCCAGGCTCCTGCAACAAACAATAATAAATGCACATTGTTTAACCTGCAGAGAAATATGCATTGATTGTTTGTTGTAGCAAGAGGTGAACTTATCCTTTAACAATCCTTGGCAGTGCGAATAATACATTAGTATCCAGTGCAGCTTCCTTCTCTAATAATTGTCGCATATGTGGGGGAGAGAATCTCTAACCAACACACACCTCCTCCAACTGAGTGGGAGCGACTTAGAACCTCCTTCCACAGCCGCACAGTACCAGGCTGCTCCTCCCACTAGCTGCACAGCGACGACCATGGGTGGAGCCATAGCGAGGCGTGGAACGCACAATTTGGAACGCAAAAAATGGTTACGGCTTCCGTGTATGGTTCTACAGCCAGCTCCGCTGGACGCAGCTTGAAGTGAGCAGAGCTGTCTCGTCCCACGCCGGCTACAACCCCCACTCAGGCTATGGAAGGAAGGCCGAGCTGCTGTATCCAGATGCACACCTTGCCGTGGGTCATACCAACGCAAGGTACGGGCGGGGCTCGGCGTAGGGGGGTTTCCAGAAATGACAGCGGCAAGGTTTGGCTGATGGTCACGTTACCCCGTGATCCGATCTATAGCGAATGACGTTGTACTAGCTTGCGGATGACAAAATGGCAGCTCCTCCCCTCCCAGTGACAATGGCTGCGTCCGCGTCCTGGATCGTACCATCTGCGGCACCTCCTACAGGGGGGCTAAGGGCTGCTGCACCGCTGTGCGGGTGATGTAGGGGATGGGAGCCGGCCGGGGTGTGGTGCCCTCCTGAGCCCAGCGTCTGCTATGCTGCTGCCGGACCTCATAGCGCCTGCGCCGCTTTCGCCGTGTGTGCAGTGACATGTGTGCTTTGTGTCCCCCCTACAGCTGTCACTTGTGACACGTCCGCCGCTTCCCTGTTTTGAAAAGTTGTATTGGAGAGTCCGGTGTCTCCGGGGCGGCCCGAGCCCGGGGGGTGTGATCTGCAGGGGGACATTCCGTGCCAGGCCCGACCACACCAGCCGATACCATGAGCACCGGGGACGACCACCAGGCCAAGTACCCCCTGCATGCCCTGGTCTGGAGTAATGACTTCCGGGCACTGGAGAGAGAGCTGGACGGCAAGGTGAGGGAGAGCACACACTGCCTGTGGGGGTATGGGGGCTTTGTCCTAGTCACTCACACACACACATACATAGATCTATATCTTTCAAATGATTTCTGATTGGCAGGTCATGTGATGAGTCTTGTGTACATTGATGAACCAATGCAATCAGATTGCCAGTACCAACCTTGCTGATTGACATAAGGACTCGCTCACCCCACAAGGCTTTCATTTTAAATGATTCACGAGAAATCAGGTCGTTCTTTATTTTTCAACATGCAGCCAACCACAACCCACAAGAACAATGGCACCTGTGCATCGCGGTGCTCGGTCTACGGGCTCGTTCACGCGTGCTTTGATCTCTGAAGCGCAATCTGCATTCAGATCGCTCATCAGAGAGCTTATGACAGGCAGTAAGGAGTTGTTATATCCCCTGTTTACCACCTACTTTAACCCCTTGATCCATGTACCAGTATTGCACGCGGTTGTGGGGCGTTTGCAGAACGAGCCCCATTCATTTGAATCGGTCATACTCGCACTACATCCACCAAAAGCAAAAGGGGTCAGAATTCCTGCCATGGCAGGTGTATACCCATGGCCGCTGCCTATGCAGCTAAAAGGAGGTAGCACTTGAGGATGGTAAAAATGTGTCTTCATCATGTGGTTTTACCGCCCCTCAATTGTTAGTGTTAATGAGTCACATAAATGTATGATAGGAGTGGTGTAAATGAAAATATGACTCCCTGAGGTATCATCCTGATTGAATATGTACAAATTGGGTTGTGGAAGTGGGACTTTAATTATACCTCAGGGGTTCACAAGTGGACCTATGTTATACGCTGACACAAATATGCATAAAAATGACAATTTATTAGACTGACATAAATAATCATCTCTAGGTACAAACCTCTTTCTTGGATATAAAATGCGTCCAATAACATAGGTTGGAAGGCATTCCATATCCAAGAAAGATGGATATAACCCCTGTCAGTTTGTTTTTCTTGCCATCTGTATCCTATAGGGAAGATTTACCTTCACTGCCTGTCCCATAGCCAAACAGGAAATCTCTGCAAATTAAAGTGGTTCTAAAGGCTCAAGCTGTTTTACCTTCATGCATTCTATGCATGAAGGTAAAAAAAAAAAAAAACCTTCTATGTGCAGCAGTCTCACCTAAGCCCCCTCTCGAACCAGCAATATGTACTGGTGTCTTGGCTATCCTGGGACTCCCTCTTCTCATTGGCTGAGACAGAAGTGGGAGCCATTGGCTCCCACTGCTGTCAATCACAGCCAGTGAGCCAATAAGAGAGGGGGCGGGGCTGAGTGGTGGCTCCATGTGTGAATGGACACATGGAGCAGCAGGTGCCCCCCATAGCAAACTGCTTGCTGTGGGGGCTCCCAACAGGAGGGAGGGGCCAGGAGAGCCTGTGGGTTACTTGAGAAGAGGAGGATCTAGGCTGCTCTGTGCAAAATCACTGCACACAGCAGGTAAGTATAGACATGTTTGTTATTTTTTCTTAAAAAAAAAAAATAAGCCTATAGAATCACCTTAAGGGAATATCCTGGGGCCCCAAGGTCACCAACACTAGTGTCCCCATGGTAAAACTTTCCCTTTTATTGCTGTTCTGGGGACAACCCAAAATGTGGGGTTTTCTTTCATTTTCACTTTTGATGATAATGGTAAACAGGACAAATAGGGAAATTCCCTAACAGGGCACAGACAACAATGAAAACACAGGTGTTCTAATTCCTTTGCACGCTATTTAAAACTAAAAAAAAGTTTTACCTTTCGTTCTAGTTTAATAACAATTGTGAAGTGTGAAAGCCGATCGTATTGGGTATAAACTGAATGGGTTGTTTAGGTAGGTACATACACTACTTCATTGTGGCTTACACAGAAATGCAATATACAGAGACTCTACCATTAAATTGTGAGGCTTGCTACTGGTACCCCATAGACATTGGTTGAATGTGGTGACCAGATCCATCTTCATGTCTACAGGTACCAGGTGTTATCCTGACTGGTCATTCTCAGGAAATCAGTGATTGCTTTGGTTGGGTTTTATTGTGAATCACTGGGGGTTATTTACTAAAACTGGAGAGCTGGGAGAGTGCAAAATCTGGTGCAGCTCTGCATGGAAAGCAATCAGCTTCCAGGTTTTATTGCCAAAGTTTTACTAAACCCAGGACCCTGCATTCACTATATCTGGTTTCCCACAGTACACACAACATGGAAATGCAATTATTTTAGTAAATATAAACTGCTAAATACCTTTCCCCATCAGCAGTTAGAGCAGTCTTGTGATTTCTATCAGTGTCCAGCAGAGCACTGGTTAAAGCTTGTAGGAGGAGTTTTCATTCTCCCCTATGAGGCTGCAGGACCCCTTACCCTCTGTCTAGACAGTGCTGATTGGTCCTGTGCTGATCACACGCACTCTCCCAAGAAAAAAAACCTCTCTAGTAATATGTACCAAACTGAGCATGTGCAGAGTGCCTCCTAGCCTCTGTTCTATCAGGCCATATATTGGGGACAGTAGAGAGAGGGGAGGATCAGAGAAGAGAGGATCAAACATCCTTTTTACACAATGCAGAGGATTAACCCCTTAGGCTCCACAGTGAGTATAACAAGCATTCATTACTGCATGTATAGACTGCTGTTACTGTAGTGGGTTTAGTTGCACTTTAATTGAACAAGCTGAAGTTTGAAGCTGATTGGCTGCCATGCACAGCTGCACCAGATTCTGAGTGCTCCAGTTTTAGTAAATCTACCTCACTGTTTCAGCTGCAATGAGGCCTGCACTGGGATATCTGGCTGCTCCCTTGTTGCTTTCTTTCTCTACACATGATGGGGTGAGTTATATATTCACATAATGACCATTTTCAAAAATGATCAGCACGCATGCGTGACCAACAGACCTATTATCTGTGGCTAACTTTACTTTTTTCACACTTTAGGGCTGCTCGTGGGGGCGGGAATCGCACCTGTTCCTGCAACCGAATTGTGTTGCTCTTGCAAGTCACATGGGGCTGCCATTCACTCTGAATTCACCCCACGCATCTCAGCTCACAGTGCATATGTGGATGCGGAATCCACAGTGAAAATGTATGGTTAAAGAGACCATGTGGTTTCCTTGCAGCTGCGTTATTTTTTTTTTTTTTTTTTTTTTTTTTTTTTTTTTTAAAGGTACCTATTTCTTGCAAGGAACAAATCGCAGCAGCCAATTCAAATGAATGGGCTACCGTGCCTAAGCAAACGCAGGCTGCAGAGCTTATTCATGCTGCCAACTTGAGCTGTACGCTGCCAAGAATCATCATTTTTCTGCAGCGGGTATTGACAGGTGTTTGTGATCAGCAGCAGCCAGGAATCCTATATAAATAAATGAAAAGCTAACAGGCGCTGTGGCTTTTCGCTTGTAACCCCACATGAGTGATTACATAAAATTAAGGAAAGATGGGTGGTCCTGAACACGAACAGTTTGCATCCGTAGCTGCTCATCTGTCCGCCTGGATGTGTGGTGCAACAGCTATGGTGCTAGTCAGCCTGTCATTGAATTGGCTATGGCTGATCACAAGCATCTGCGAATATCTTCTGTTCAGTGGGGGATTCCACACACTGAAATTTGGACAGCCCCTGCTGCACTGGTCAAATTTCAATCAGTGTATAGCTAGCTTTAGAATGAATTGTATCAATAGAAAATCAAATTGCAATTTGGTTTCGCTTACTGAATTTGTCAGTAGAATGGACTTATTACATGTCGCTTAATAGTGTGTGCTTGCCTTTAAAGACACTCTGTCACAACTATCTTTTACTTTAGGCACTGCAATGCATTTTAAAGCAGAACTCCATGCAGTGGAGCTGTGCCTGCACTGCATGGGTTAACTGTTTTTTTTGTCTAGGGGAGAGTGGAAATATACTTACCTAATCCGCGCGATCTTCCCAGCGCATAACCAGTCCCTGCCGCCCCGAGGTCTCGTGCGGTGGACTTTTGCTGACATCATCACGCCCCCATAGACCGGCCCTTCCCTTACAGTGAAGTCACTTGAGTCTGGGGACATGCCAATTTCAAGTGTGATTTGCAAGACATCTGACACAGCTGTCTATGCAACTCGCACCAAAAGTAGTGCATGTACTACTTTACAAGTCGGTGCGGCTCTAAGTCGGAACCGTACCGATTTGACCACTGTAATTGTAGACAATAGGGTGCGACTTGGCATGCAAATCGCATGCAAGGTCACACCCAGTGTGACCGGGGTCTTGGTGAATTAACTTAAATTTTTTTTTTTCCCAGTATTTATCTCACATTCAATATTTAACTTTGATGAATTGACTCTTTTAGTATCTGTGATATGTCTGAAAATGGGTCATGTGACGGTCATATCACATGCAAAATCATTTGGTGAATTGTCCCTATTTAATATAAAAATATATATATATCACTTTACAAGTGCCTCAGCCTTTGTACCAAACTGACAAATGATGCAGAACATGTTAGTAATATGTTTGAAATGTCTATTTCTGACCATTAACACTTGTTCTAAACCTATACCCCACACTTCAGCAACTGTATTTGCACTCAATTAAGTGCTTCAACCAATATAACGCACAGTATACAGCTCTCCTAATAAGTTTAAAACCTCAACTAAGTGCTACAATGTTACTCACAAAAATACAACTCTCCTGCGATGTATCTTATACGTATAAATAATACATTCATAAATCCATTAAAGTGCTGTAAAGTCCAATCCTATAGTGCAATAAAAAGTATATCATCCAAAAGCTATGTTTCTCTTCTATGGTATGTTAATAAAAGTGCTTCTTGCAATATTAGTTTAAACAATTGATCCAACCACAGTTCCAGTATTTCACTATTGCCTTCAGTGCTTCACTCCACCAGTGTATCACCACCATTCTGGAGAACTCACCAGATAGCCATGACCACTCATTTAAGAGTTGGTCTTAATGCACTTCTTGTTTTCCAAATGAGATGTATCGCAACCAGGAATCCTCTTTAGCTCGTTCAGTGTCACCAAGACCATCATGTAAGAGGCTCCAATAGTGTAAACCCCTTTATTAAAACTACTCCATACATTAAATATGGTTCTGCCCTGCACCTGGGTGTAGCAGCCTTTTGTCATAGCTGGCCGGGTCCACTGCAACTTGGTGCAGGCTCGGTCCGCTGCACCACACAGGTGTTCCTCACCACTTCCGAGTGTCTCCTTTGGTCGGAATGACGTCACTTGCTGCAGCTCCGCCACCAACCCTACAGCACCTGGTATTCCCATGTGGTTTCCTATCCAAGTACTAACCAGGCCTGACCCTGCTTAGCCTCTGAGATCAGACGAGATCAGGAGCATTCAGGGTGATGTGGCCGTAGGCTAGCTACAGCTCTTGGTATTCCCAGGCAGTCTCCCATCCATGTAGTAACCAGACCTGACCCTGCTTAGCCTCTGAGATCAGACAACATTGGGCGCATTCAGGGTGATTTGTTGTCTTTCGCAAGGCGCATGTAACATTCTTGATCATTTGATACTAAGAGGGAAAAAAAAAATATTCAACCAGAAGTAGTGGTGCACCGAAATACAAATTCTGGTGCTGAAACCAAAAATTCAGGATGCACTTGGCCGAAAACCGAAATTAAGTTTAAAAATTCATATATTTTTCAAAAGCAATTTTTTTGGAAACAAATACACTTAATGATTATAAAAACCCAATATATACCCCAATTTTTTTGTAAAATATGAAAGTGAATGTTATGCTGAGTAAATATACCCAAGATGTCCTGCTTTAAAATTGCGCACGCTCGTGGAATGGTGTCAAACTACAGTACTTAAAAATCTCCATGGGTGAAAATTTATACGGGTTACCAGTTTAAAGTTACAGAGGAGTTCTAGTGCTAGAATTATTGCTCTTGCTCTGACGTTTGTGGCGATACCTCACGTGTGGTTTGAACATCGTTTACATATGTGGGCATAGCCTACGTATGCGTTCACCACTATGTGCGACACAGGGGGGACAGGGACACTTTAAACTTTTTTTTTTTTAACACTGTCCCTTTAAAAATGAGGTCAATAAGACTCCACATCTCTCCTCTACAATGTAAAACAGATCAAAAAAAGCATTGATTCAGTGCTTTAAAAAAAAAAAAAAAAAAAAAAGGTCTTTTTTACAAGGTACCGGAAGTGACATCGCTCCGGTCCTCCAAGGGCATAGAGATGAGTGGAGGCCATTTTTCCTTCACTTATCTCTATGCCCAACGCCGGGATCATTCAGTGGTTTCTCAGGTAAGTCTGAGAACCACCGAGTGGCGGCACCTGTATTGTTGCATATTTCCATATCGGCCAATGGCCAATAGGGGTATTTTTAGCCACTGAAATTTTGGTGCATCCCTAACCAAAAGAGTGTTCAAGAACATTCAACATTGGACTAGAAGAGTAAATAATATGAGAGATCTCTGTACAAAGTGTATAGGGATTCCGGTGCCACCACTAACAGTGTAATGGATCAGCTACTGCACAGAGTGAACTGCAATACAGAATTAGTACAATGTTGCAAAGATGGAACTCTGACGTCTGAGTAGGAGTCCATCTCTGCAACATTGTATCGGTTCCGTATAAAAGTTTACTCTGTGCAGTAGCTGATTGATTACGCTAGCCTTTTTAATAAAAGAACTCTTGAAATAACTTTCAGTAATCCTGCTAATAATTACTGTATCTACAGCTCACAGTACATTAGTGTGATGGTCAGTGGGAATAATGCTCCTTACACTTGTGGTCATTAGGAAGAATCTTCCCATAATCTGGTCATACATGGCTCAATTTTTTTTTTTTTAGTTCGGCCAGCTGGCTGAAAGAAAAAAACAGCCAATTTCCCCATCTCCATCCAGGGAGGATCGGAAATCCTCGCTGCTGTGGAATTGTATTCTGACAGTGGGACTCCCCCACTGTCAATATACTCTGATCAGATGCAGTTGGTGGCCTGCAAGCGCTGATTGTCGCAAAATTTTCCAGCAGGACTGTTCATGAACAGTCCATCTGTAAATTGGCTCATCTTGAATGGGAATAGCCATAGGTACAGTAGATTGAATTTTTTTTTTTTCACCTGAGAGGCAAAAACTGCTGATTGCTCAAGTAGTCCCTAACAACCTCTAGAAGAATCCTGGTTGAGAGAAGCTGCATTACATTGTCATTGATGAACACAGGAATCTCCGTACACTTTGTGCAGACAGAGGTCTCCCTCATTATTCATAATTTCCTCTTCTGGACAGACCGGCTCTGCACAGAGAACTGAGCGATCAAACACAGCTACTTGCTCAGTTCTCCTCTCCATACTGAGCAGAGAGTTGTGACTGTCAGTTTCCAGCTCACTGGAACACTGGGCTGTGGTGGGGTGCACAGGAGGAGCTGGCTCATGTTCTTGGTGAATCGCTGGGAGGCTGAGCCAGGTGCCGGTCCAGGCATCTGGGAGGATCTTGACCAAACGGTTGCTATCCTTCATCAGCCTGGACGGCTCTGTGACATCATGTGATCTATAGGAGAAGTATATCCAAAAGGGCTTTGGCTTTACGTCTCCTTTTTAAATGTTCTTTATCTCTTCTGGTCGAGTGTTCTTAAGGCTTTTTCTCTTAGGATTAATTGTTAGGAAATGTTACATTCATCCTGTGAAAGACAACAATTAGAACTTGACACTTCACAAAAACATTACAGCGATTATTCTTGACTTGCAAGATTACTGAGACATTCACAAAGAAATATATATATATGGACCCCTATTATTCTTTCATTTTAGCTCCCAGTGATGTTTAGTTTAAAGCGGTAGTAAGCGGCAAAAAATATTTATATATTGGGTAAACCTTATAATAGGTTTACCTGTAGTTATTTAAAAAAAAAAATCGGACTTTACTACTGCTTTAAGAAATCTGAAGCTGCTGCCTGGTATGAAGTACTGGTACCTAAACATACCTTCAAAAACTTTTCATGTCTCCTGGTTCACTTGAATGCTGTGTTTTCTAAGAGGGAACACGTGAAAGCTTCTTTAAACTGACAGTCTCTCTTTTTATATTTCTGGCATGTCTTAAAAGTGAATATACAGTATATACTGCATATGGATTGTATATTTAGGTGTGTAATAGTTCTAAAACAACTAACACAACAACAGCAAAAAGATTCAGACAACCGTGATTGTCATAGGTGAACAAATATAAAGACCCCTCAATAGAACACTTCTGATCCTATGTAGACATTGAGTAAAAGTAGAGAAGCTGAAAAATGAAGCCGAGACAGCTTCCACTGTGTCTCATTTTAACTAGGCATCTAGTAATCTTCTCACCAATAATAATAATACAACAAAACGTAATTGATGAATAAATATGGCTACAGTTTATTGATTTAAAGGATACCAATGTGCTTTATATATAGTGTACAAATAAAACTTTTACATTACAATAAATTCATATTTTTTGTTGCACTATTATTTCATGGCCCCATAACATTATCCTTACAACAACATTGACATATTTTAGTACACATGCATTAAGAGTACTTATTTGATAAGCAAACCAGTTTTTTTTTCACTCACATTTCCCTCCAGCATCTATAGTGCTGAACTAAGGAAAGTTTAGTCATACTCATTAGGCTGGGCTTTTTCACTTTAATTGGTCTAAACTTGCACTGTAACTTGTGTTATTGTAGATGCCTGAAATCTCCTTTCATGTATGGTGATACAGTAATATTCCCACTTAATGTAATCCTCTTACTATTAAATGGGTTTTAATTGTTCCGGATTAACCGCAAATAATCGCTCTTTTGGCCATAACTGGCAGAGAGGATTTCTCTTCAGTGTTGGCTGTTGCCCAGTGACTTGACAGCTTGACAGCTTAAAGACATAGCCTGTTTCATAATGCAGGTTTTCAGTTTTAAAACCGAGAGTATATTTTGAGTAGTTTGCCAAACACACGCTCAAGTGATTAAGCCTAAAGCTGCACTTACATGGTGGATTTAGGGCTTTATCTTAACCGATGATGCATGTATGGTTTTGGCATTGCTGCCTTTTTAAAAAAAAAAATTTTTTTAAATTTATCATTTGTAATTTCACCATAGGATATAGAGGAGCTGGATCCACGAGGCAGGAGTCCATTACATCTTGCTGTTTCACTTGGACACCTAGAGTCTGCTAGAGTCCTCCTGAGGCATAAAGCAGATGTCACAAAAGAAAATAAGGATGGGTGGACTGGTAAGTACTTAAATATCGTTCACATAAACACAAAACCCATTCTTTCCCAAAATAAAGAAAAAAATCAAAGTTAGTTGATTTGGTAATGGTGTAGTGCACAGGTAGTCTAGATTCTTTGCCCCTGTTCCTATAGATTGTCCATTTAAGAGTCTTGCAGTTCCTCCCACAGTGTGCCCTCTGCCCTGTGTTCCTCAGACTTCTTCTCTGCGGAAATCACTTATCTAACAAACATGTTTCAAGACAACCAGAAAACCAGGATCTGCACATGGATATCTATTCATTCACCTGAACTGCCCGATCAGCTAACTTTGAGTTGTCAAACCACCTGAGGTTACCTGGTATTTCTTGTTCTACAAATTTTATCACACTGCTGCTACAAATCCTGGCTGATAATGGGTTTTGTAAAAAGTTTCCATAGCCTTAAAAAATTGTGTTTCAAGATCACTCATGTAGATTTCAAAAAGATCAGTTATGGGATAGTAGTTTGTATATTGCAGAAGATCCCTGCCATTTTGTGTTTTGGAACCATTCCATTTGTTGTTTTATTACAGGAGCACTTTCTGCTGGCTAAATCAGTTGAAATTCTTTCAGCCCTCGCAGTCAAATTAATGTGCCACTTTATATTTGAGAGAAATTTTGCTGTATATGATTCAGAATGCATGTTGCCATTCTGTCATGGTCTTTCCATATGTAGTAAGGTACTATGATTCAAGTGTGTAAAAAGTAAAAAAAAAAAAAAAAAAAAAAAAAAAATCAGAAAGTACATTCTATTACTCTCAACCCCGTCCAAATCTTCAAATTCTTTGTTTTTTTTTTTTTCTTTGTGCTGCTGTTCAAGTGTTACTAAACCCACAACAGTAAAATTTAGTCTGTATATGCAGTAAGGCATGCTTGTTATACTCTCTGTGGAACCTAAGGGGTTAATCTTCTACATTGTTTAAAAATGCTGTTTGATCCTGCCTTCTCTGATTCTCCCCTTATCCCAGTGTCCCCCTCTTATCTCCTGATAAGACATTGTGTAAAGACACTCTGCACATGCCCAGTTTAGTGTGTATTGCTAGACAGGTTTTTTTTTTTCTTGGGACAGTGCATGTGATCAGCACAGAGCCAATCAGCACTGCCCAGACAGAGGTCAGGGATTCTGCATCCTTCTAGAGAAAACTCCTCCTACAAGCTGTAACCAGTGCTCTGAACACTTGATAGAAATCACAAGAGTGCTCTAACTGCTGATGAGAGAAGGTATTTAGCAGTTTATATTTACTGAAATAATTGCATTTCCATGTTCTGTGTAATGTGGGAGATCAGATATAGTGAATGCAGGGTACTGGGTTTAGTAACACTTTAAAGTAGTGGTGCACTGAAATGAAAATTCTGATGCCGAAAACATAAATTCATAATGCACTTGGCCAAAAAGGGAAACCAAAATGCTCAGTTTTTAAAATGAATTTATATTAAAAAAAATACACTTTGATTAAAAAAAAACAATATATACCCCAGTTTTTTGTAAAATATGAAAGAGGATGTTGCTGCGAGTAAATAGATACCAAACATGTCACGCTTTAAAGTTGCGCACGCTCATGGCATGAAACTGTGGTACTTAAAAATCTCCATGGATGATGCTTTAAAAATTTCTACAGGTTAGCAGTGTAACGTTACAGAGGAGGTCTAGTGTGAGAATTATTGCTCTTGCTCTGAAGTTCGTGGCGATACCTGACGTGTGTGGTTTGAACACTATTTACATATGGGGGCATGGCCTACGTATGCGTTCACCACTACGTGCGAGCACGGTGGGACAGGGCACTTTAATTTGCTTTTATTTTTTATTTATTTTAATGTTTTGTTTTTTTTTTGGGGGGGGGGGTTGCGCTGTCCCTTTTTTAAAAAAAAAAAAAAAAAAAAAATGTAATAACTTTTATTCTTATCACAAGAAATGCATGCATCCCTGGTGATAGAAATAATGAGTGACAGGTCCTTTTTATGGAGAGATATGAGGTCAATAAGACCCCATATCTCTCCTCTACAATGTAAAGCATTGGATCAAAAAAAAAGCATTGTTCTAGTGCTTTTAAAAAAAAAAAAAAAAAAAAATGGCTGGAACCGGAAGGGGCATCGTTCCGGTCCTCCAAGGGCATAGAGATGAGTGGAGGCCATCTTTCCTTCACTCATCTCTATGCCCAGCGCCAGGATCGTTCGATGGTTTCTCAGGTAAGGCTGAGAACTATCGAGCGGCGGCCGGTGGCAAGGGGCGGGGTTTTTTTCGGCATCTGTATCGGTGCTTTTTTTTTTTTTTCTTCATTTCAGCTGACGGCCTAAAGGGGTGTTTTCGGCCGAAACGTTTTGGCCACCAAAATTTTGGTGCATCCCTATTTTAAATGGTGGCAACATTTTTGTTCTCCACCGTTCAACTGTATATAGGAACATAGCCACCCTCTCTTGCTTGTTTTTGAAATGGACTATGGTAGTATTTCTCAAACTTTTTTTAGTCAAGCCACCCTTAAAATTATGGATAATCTCAAGGCACCCCATTCTAAAATCTCAAGGCACCCTGCACAATCCATCTCAAGGCACCCCATTCTAAAATCTCAAGGCACCTTGCACAATCCATCTCAAGGCACCCCATTCTAAAATTTAAAAAACTATTCTACTAGTTTTACATAATGCAGCAACATCCACACATATAGTACACCCAACATTAGAGGTGATTTTATTCTTCCAAAAAAAAAAAAGACACCTTTGCACACTAGTACTGACTAGAATTCCAATGTTAATCCCTCAATTTCTCTCCATCACTCAGTTTGTGACCCCAGTGCTGACAGAGAAGGGCAGAGGAGGGGCAAAAAGCAGGCGGTGCAGGCATCCAACATCCTTTTTATCAACTGATGTCATTTTTGGGTTTTGGGATGCCGACAGCTAGAAGGTCCTAAATAGTGCACATCTGTGGCTTTGTGTACTAAAAGGCAGGACTGATCCACCTGCTGGCTTGTAAGCAATTTTTAGGCATATTGCCCAGGCACCCCTGAAGAAGCATGAAGGTACCCCAGGGTGCCTGGGCATCCTGGTTGAAACAGGCTGGACTATGGGACTTGAAGAGTACATAGAGCAGTGCATGTGACCACAACATACACTACTCCAAACAGAAGTGAGAGGGAAAAGAAAATGTTTGGGAGCTCATAGGGGACAAAGCAAAGAGGCAGAAAACACAGTAAGAGACTATTTTATGAAAGGTACATTAGAGGGCGATTGGGTAGTGGATGGTTTTTGGAGAGTAAATATATTGTTTAGTGTCACTTTTTATTAACATGTCTTTCAAAGGTTTCCTCGACACTTTCATTATATGCAGAACTAGGATGTGTAACGTTGCTTGGTAAAGTATACATGGAAGTTTTTAAACCTTTGAAAAATTGGTATTTTTATTTCAGTTCTGCATGAAGCAGTTAGCACAGGGGACCCAGAGATGGTTCAAATGGTTCTGCAGTACCGAGAGTTTCACAAAGCATCCACAGCTCTTGGAGGTGTACCTGAACTACTAAAGAAAACACTGGAGGTGAGTGAGCATTAATGCACTAAACGTATCCCTTGCACATGCCATGTGTCACAATGTTATTAAATATTCTACACAAATCATCAGTGGAGAACAGTGTATATGGCGCCACGTTCAAGATCCATGGATAATCATGAATTGCAGCCTGTGGGTTTAAAAAAAAAAAAAAAGAAGAAATCGCAGAGGGTCTCACAATGTGTTATTTTTATTATTAAAAAAAAAAAAAAAAAAATATATATATATATATATATATATATATATATATATATATATATATACACATTATTTTTTTTTTTTTGCTCTTGCTAAGCAGTATGACTCTAGCAAAGCATGCATACAGGCTAGTATCCCCATACCAAGGGAAAAGAGAATGCATTCTCACTGCTCTTTTTAATAAATTGTTTTCTCTTCAGAGTAGTTGGTAAAACAAGCTTGGGTCCATGCTTATCTGCATGTTTCCAAAAAATTAAATATTGCATGTATAGCCTTGGCTGAAAATATACAAATATAAGTATTGCAATAATAAAAAAGATATGAATGCTACACAATAACAAGTTTTTGTGTTTCTAAAAGCAGTTAACCAAGTGGTAAGTACTAGTTGGATTTGATTTAATGCTTATTAGATTATAAGTAGCCTTGAGTATTGAAAAATTATTTATAATTCTTTTTAATGTTTTAAAAAGTCAGAACACCAGGATTGTAGCCAGAAAATGAAAACCATATTAATAGCACTGTAAAACAGGGAGCAATACTGTCCTACCTACTGATGTATTCAGGGGTTAACCACTGTAATAATACCACTGGAGCCATGGATGTTGATATTCCCCATGGCCTTTTATAAGGTCACATGGTCAATATTTTGGGCATTACTCTTTCAAATACAATGGTTTTTACCTGGTTCTTAAATGTTATCTATTCATAAGGTCATATTGGTGCTCTTGTAATAACACAGTTGAATACTGTATGTGACTCCGCTTTTTTTATTTTGCACTACTCTAAATCTCATAAAAGTTTGTTCTGAAAATTGAACTATTAAAACAAATCTCAAAAGCATGGCTTTCAGTACTCAATTACATTTTGCCCTAGGTCCATCAGTCTGTTGAATAATGACTGTGCTGTACAACTGCTAAGTTATGGTAACTGTCAGTCTAATATCGATGTTCTGTAAAATTGACAGTCATTTTGACTTCTATCTAGTACTTTTGGAGATGTACATACAAGCATTTTTGTATATAGAATTTGAAAGTGACCACAATGTACAAAGCTATGCCCTGCTTTAACTGCTTATTGTGTTTTTTAGTAACCAAAAGTGAAATCAAATTTTCCAGTTCAAGCAATGGTTCTCCTAACAATGCACTTCAAATGTAAGTGCATTATCTAGAGATTTAGAGTAAACAGAAATATGGCATACATTGTGACCATCTTCTGTAGTATTTTACATTCTGAGCTACAAGAAGATAACAAGAGCTTACCTGTTTTACATCAAAGAGTATTTTTTCTTGGTTTAGTTTCATTTTATTACTTTGACTCTTGAAGATGTGTCACAGTAAGGTTTGTTAATTGGATGTCAAAATCAGATAATACTATTTTCAATATGCTCTTTTAACCTTCAGCTGACTTTCTTGGTTACACTTGCTGATTATTAATACAAATTCGCCTTCTTTAGTAACCCAAACATAGTAGATTCACTAAGAATGAGTAAATGAGTGTCTTATTGATTTTTTTTTTTTTTTTTTTTTTCCCTTTTTTACAAAACCTTTTGTAGCTTAATACTTTTTTAACAGTTGAAGCTGCCATTCTCTTCCAGGTAGTGATGAAAAGACAATACAGTTTGAAAAATTGATTTAGTGAAGTTGCATAACAAGAAGATCTCTTTGCAATTTTAAATTGGCTTTATGCTGCCAAAATCCTTCAAAGCAGATATTCAACAGACTGTGGGGATGGGCAAATGTGTTATGTAGATGTGCAAGCATTGTGTCAGTGCACAATTCCCATATTCTGCTAGACAATAAAATCAGTCATATGAGAACCACATACATGCACGGGAGCAGCCTTTGAACACCTGCATCTTCTGTTTTGTCCCTTTTTACCATAGATTTTCTCAAAGGCTCTTTTTCAACGTAGCTTCTAAAAACAATGAGTTAGATGAGCCTAGAGCAGTGGTCTCCAAACTGTAGCCCATGGGCCAGTTGTGGCCTTTTTGCTTGCTATTCTCCAGCTCTTGGAGCACTACTCCTCCCACTGATACAAGGCTGTATCCTGCCGCTAACACCAATGACGAGGTACCATGCCTTCCACTGATGCCAACAGTGGGGCATCATTTCTCCCACTGATGCCAATGATGGCAATGATGGGGCAGTATTGCTCCCACTGACATTAAAAAAGATGGGGCACTGTTCCTCCGAATGACGCCAACGATGGGGCACTGTTCCTCCAAATGAAGCCAACGATGGGGCACTATTCCTCCCACTGGCACCACCAATGGAGCCCTCTTCCTCCCAATGACACCATTGATAGGGCACTATTCCTCCCACTGACTCCAACAATGATGGGGCACTATTTCTCCCACTGACACAAAAGAAGGGGAATTGTTCCTACCACTATTATCAATGATGGACCACTAGTGCTCCTCCTACTCACCACAAGTGCTTTGTAATTTTTTTTTTTTTTTTTTTACTCTCACTGACCATCAAACATGAGGCATTATTTACTCTCATCGGTCACCGCCTGCCTCCCCCAAAGTCTGAAGAACAGTAAATTGGCCCTTTTTTTCTTTAGGAGATCTCTGGCCTAGTGGATGAAGAACTTCGAGAAGCACCAGGCTCCCCCCCCCCCCCCCCCCCCCCCCCCAAAAAAAAATAAGTCAGCAGCTGCAAATTCTGTAGCTGCTGACTTTTAATATAAAGACACTTACTTCTCCAGGGGTCCAGCGCCATGCAGCTTCACAGCCGGTTTTCTACTGTGCATGTACAAGTCGTTCTGCACCTTGAATGGGTCCATAGTCTTCTGGGAACTGTGAAGTGTCCCAGAAGACTGCTGGGGGGAAGAAAGTGGCCAAACTTCTGGGCCAAAGTGGGAGATGGCACCTGTCAAAATCAGGTACCTGCTCCCCCCCTAAAAGTGCCAAATGTGACAGTGGAGCAGGGGAGGGTGCAAACAAATGAAACTTTCCCATTTGGTGGGCTCCACTTTAAGGTAGCATTGATGATCTAAAAATAGAAAGCAACAAAAATAAAATAGTTGCTTTACAGCAGCCAGTTATAATTGACCCTTCAGGTATGACAAGGAATGGCCTAACATCCACAGTTTTTCCACTAATTTCCATGGCTGTGGTGTTTGTCCATGTGCACAGCCTGTATGCAGCTGTGTATCTGAATCCAATTTTGGTTCATTTACTTAAGGAGTAGAGGTTGTTTACCTAATGAAGTAAATGTTTGTGAATAGGTTGTTGTAGCTGTGTTCTTTGGATACCCAATCATCAGGGAAAAATCCTGCTTTTTTTTCCCATTTACCTTAGACTCGAGTGTTTAATATTGAACACAGTTTCACCTTATCCACTAACAAGGTGGACATTCACTTTGCTAGATGAACTCCTTTAGTAAAGCAAGCGTCATACTCTTACAGAATCCATAAGATATTAAACTCTCTCACCACTTCTATCTACTCGTGTATATTTGTTTTATATCCTTCAACTGTTCAGATTATTTTGAGCTTTTATTTGGCATTCATAATTGTTTGGCTTGATTTTCTGTGACACGTTGAAATAAATGTTTTCTGATAATATGTTTTTTATGTCTTTTTGCTTAAGGCTTGTGATTTTTATGTGGAAATGAAGTGGGAGTTTACAAGCTGGGGTGAGCTCAAATGCATTTTCTATGTAAATCAAAAAATAATCTATTCTAGTTTTATGCCTCTAGTTATTATATTTTGTAAATTCATATGTTTGCAGTGATTCCAGCTGTAGAAACTAGTTGCCCTTTTCTATTTTAGTTCCTCTCTTATCAAGAGTGTGTCCCAGTGATGTCTGTCGGATATGGAAGAGTGGAGCCAAACTTCGAGTTGATGCCACCTTGCTGGGATTTGAGAACATGAGCTGGATCCGAGGAAAGCATAGCTTTATATTTAAAGAGGAAGGTGAGCTTGATATATATATATTGGCAGGATTTCCTGTTTCCCTTGCCATTTCATAAGTAAAGCCTGTGTTTCGCTAGGGAGGTTTCCCTTTACATCCTGTTTTAGAGACACAATGGGAGTGAAACGAAATCTTTCCATGGTGAATTGAACTCCTATCTTAGGCAATTGTCACAGGAACAGATGACAACTCAATTTTTTGGGGTTTCCCCTCACTTCTTTCTTGGTGACCATGTTCATTAGGTAATAATAGAGGAGTGAAACTCCCAAGCAGAGATACAGACAGCAGTCAAAACCTGACAAAGGGTTTGATTCTTGACTCCATTTTAACCAAAACAAACATTTATGTACATTTTCAAGTTTGATGAACCGGGTCATTGGCAGCTTTTATTCTCAGCAAAAACCTTTAAGCCTTGCACTACTGCTAAATTTATGCTCCATTCACACTTGTTCAACTCAAAAGTTGTATAATTTCATTGTGCAGTTTTTGGAGTGCAACTTTGCAACTTTGAGTGCAACTTTGATCTGACTCTTACACTCTCTGGACGTAAGTCACATCAAAATATGTATCAAAGTAGTGCAAGCACCTTTTCAAAATTTGCTGCGACTTTAAGTTGCACAGATCCCTGTGGGTGCCATTGAAACCAAGGGGCTGCAGCTTGTCATGTCCAAAGTCGCATGACAAGTCACACAAGTGTGAATGGGGCCTTAAGGGTTATTTTGACAACAGTGCCCACAGGTAAACGATGATCTGGCTGTTACAGTTTTAATACTTTTTTTTTAAACGCTTGCAACTGATGCCAGTTTATTCTATAGGGTCTCTGCTTTCAGAAAATATATATAATTTTTCGACAGTTTTAAAATGGAACTAACCTTTTCAGCCAAGGAAACTGCCATCTTACCTTCTGTTTGATCTGCAACTGCCATGGTGCTGCACATGTGATCAGTTATGACACCAGCCATTTGATGGTTTGACGGTTTGGTTGAGAGCACAAGCAAATGTGACTGTTAAATTTCCGGCGTGCTGGGAATGCTAACCGTTTTTTTTAAACTGCTAAATCAATGGGTTTAGTTTCATTTTAATGAAACCTGGAGTTAGGCTTTAAAAAATGACTTAAACTTTAAAAAACCGTTTGTATGATCCAAACAAGCCATTTCCTTCACTTACAGATGTGTCCGCTGTCTGCACTGAAGAAACTGTAAGTAGCATCAGTTACATACAGTATACAGAGCTGTGTTTCTGCAGTGGTATGGGGACTTTTTGTTCCCGGGAACAAAAAGAGTTGAGCTGTGCACTGCATTAGCCTGTCACGGGAAGCCTTGTGGTTTATGAATTAGGTGAAGAGATGGGTGGGTGATTTCCATCTCAGCCACTCAGAAGAAGCCTTGTATTCATTCATAAAATGCAAAGCTTCCTATGAATATTTGAAAATCTCTCAGCCCAACCCTATTTTGTTCTGGGAATGGGAAGGGGAGTCCCTGTATTGCTGCCTGAACACAGCGCTGTATGTAGCTGTTAGAGCAGTTAATTCATTTCTGACAGCGGTAGTGTGTATTAGTGAAGGAAAAAGTTTTTCAACCAGCTTGGTCCAAACAAACTGTTTAATGTTAAATGAAACCTGAAGTTAGGCTATTAGGCCTAAAATCTACATTTTTTTTTTTATGTATTAAAAAAATGAAAATGGTTTAGGCAGTGAATGGGTTAAACATAGCAAATCCTTGAATATGCATTGTGTCATGAATGGTGGGATGACTTCTGGAAAAGCTTGATGGACCAGGGCATGCAACAAATGAGTGATAAGCCTATGTTTTGAGGTTGATGCCTGGGGAGAACAGAGACCCATTTCTTTTCAAGTAGGGGACTTCTTTTCTTTTTCAAGTAGGGGACTTGAGATTATTATTTTGGGACAGTACCAGTTACTTTTTTGGTGAATTTGTCAAAGAATTTCCCAAAGAGTTGTTCACCATTAAATGGCATGTTTAGAACACATTTCTTAAAAGCATGTTCAGTAGACCAAGCTGTTAGCCACAAAAATTATTTTAAATGTGCACAGAGATTTGAGCAATTCTTGAGACTTGTTGAATGACATTCTCAAAGGTATCAACAAAAAGCTTGTGTCTAGACCAGTTGTCAATAGTCTGGCAACAGGGAGGTGGCAACATGTCATCTGGCATGACACAGTTACCTTGGAATCCTCAGACTTATGTTTTAGGGGATGTGGTGCCTTCCTTTCCATCCTCGACATTTTGTGGGAATGCCCCTTGATCACCCCTTACTGGAAAGAAGTACACACAACTATTGGTAGGCTAACATACTAAACTCTACCTTTCTCACCCCAAACGTACCAACTACATTATACTAAGATCACAGTAGTCTTTATAGAAGTTGTCTCTAACCATCCCCCTACCTAACGCAGCCAAATTTCTTATCTCCAGACACTGGAAGAGCATGCCACACCCTACCATCACTAAATGGCGTCGTAGAAATGATCAACTAGCCAGGATAAAGGAAGTTTGCGTTGTTGCAAATTATACTCTTGACTAATACAGGCGCACCAATACAAATGTACATGGACCGCATGGGTATTAATTTCCTGCCACTCACTTGATCAAACCTACTGATGACTCATTTACCTAGGATTTTGACAGAAATTTTGGAACTGGAGTGTGGGAGCGGACCCAAGAGCTGAGCTACATACCCTGCTGCACTCCTGATATCCCACCCACCCTCACCCCTCTTTGTTCTTTTCTCTCCCCTATTCCTTCCCTTCTCTGCCTCTGTCTGTACTCCTTTTAATCACCTTCTCTTTTATATATCATCTCTCTTAACACACAAAGTTGTGTTCTAAAATTACCACAACATGTGTCACTAACAGCTGATCATACAGGCTCAAATGGTCTAGCCAAAACCTATGTTTTCTAAGGTTTTCAGAATTCATTAAATAGTCCTAGATTTACCAGCCATTTGTTTTCAAGCACCACATACAGTCAGGTCCATAAATATTGGGACATCAACACAATTCTAACATTTCTGGCTCTAAACACCACCACAATGGATTTGAAATGAAACGAACAAGATGTGCTTTAACTGCAGACTGTCAGCTTTAATTTGAGGGTATTTACATCCAAATCAGGTGAACGGGTGTAGGAATTACAACAGTTTGCATATGTTTCCTCCCACTTGTTAAGGGACAAATGGCTTCTCAGCTGTTCAGGTGTGTTATTCTCTCATTATCCCAATTACAATAAGCAGATAAAAGGTCCAGAGTTCATTTCAAGTGTGCTGTTTGCATTTGGAATCTGTTGCTGTCAACTCTCAAGATGAGATTTGAAGAGCTGTCATTATCAGTCAAGCAAGCCATCATTAGGCTGAAAAAACAAAACAAACCCATCAGAGAGATAGCAAAAACATTAGGCGTGGCCAAAACAACTGTTTGGAACATTCTTAAAAAAGAAGGCAACACACCGGTGAGCTCAGCAACACCAAAAGACTCGGAAGACCATGGAAAATAACTGTGGTGGAATGACCAAAGAATTCTTTCCCTGGTAAAGAAAACACCCTTCACAACAGTTGGCCAGATCAAGAACACTCTCCAGGAGGTAGGTGTATGTGTGTCAAAGTCAACAATCAAGAGAAGACTTCACCAGAGTGAATACAGAGGGTTCACCACAAGATGTAAACCATTGATGAGCCTCAAAAACAGGAAGGCCAGATTAGAGTTTGCCAAACGACATCTAAAAAAGCCTTCACAGTTCTGGAACAACATCCTATGGACAGATGAGACCAAGATCAACTTGTACCAGAGTGATGGGAAGAGAAGAGTATGGAGAAGGAAAGGAACTGCTCATGATCCTAAGCATACCACCTCATCAGTGAAGCATGGTGGTGGTTGTGTCATGGCGTGGGCATGTATGGCTGCCAATGGAACTGGTTCTCTTGTATTTACTGATGATGTGACTGCTGACAAAAGCAGCAGGATGAATTCTGAAGTGTTTGGGGCAATATTATCTGCTCCTATTCAGCCAAATGCTTCACAACTCATTGGACGCCGCTTCACAGTGCAGATGGACAATGACTCAAAGCATACTGCAAAAGCAACCAAAGAGTTTTTTTTTAAGGGAAAGAAGTGGAATGTTATGCAATGGCCAAGTCAATCACCTGACCTGAATCCGATTGAGCATGCATTTCACTTGCTGAAGACAAAACTGAAGGGAAAATGCCCCAAGAACAAGCAGGAACTGAAGACCGTTGCAGTAGAGGGTCTTGGCAGAGCATCACCAGGGATGAAACCCAGCGTCTGGTGATCTCTATGCGTTCTAGACTTCAGGCTGTAATTGACTGCAAAGGATTTGCAACCAAGTATTAAAAAGTGAAAGTTTGATTTATAATGATTATTCTCTCTCCATTACTTTTGGTCCCTTAACAAGTGGGAGGCACATATGCAAACTGTTGTAATTCCTACACCGTTCACCTGATTTGGATGTAAACACCCTCAAATTAAAAGCTGACAGTCTGCAGTTAAAGCACATCTTGTTCGTTTCATTTCAAATTCATTGTGGTGTGTATAGAGAGCCAAAATGTTTAGAATTGTGTAGATGTCCCAATATTTATGGACCTGACTGTACATGTGCTGTTCACATTGAGATAGTTAGTCATTCAAATTTACCAGTTTTTCTATGTGACAGATGTGATTTTTAATCTTGTATGAACATGATTTTATCTGTTCTTACAATCTGTGACTGTTCACTTTTTGCCCTTTTGCTAAAAATGTATTCATAAAAAAACACTCTAGGACTCAAGGGCATTTTGGGTAAAATAAGCCTGGGACTCCATAACATCCACTGACATCAGTTTATCAGTCTCCTGTTCTGATTGATGACAATCACCCTAGATAAAGCTTCTTTTTGTGTTGGAGACCTTTTTGAATCTAATTTCCCGGTTAATGCAGTGGAGAAACAAACAGATTTCCAATGTCCACAGATAACTGGGCCGAGCTCATGGAGATCAACCATGACGACAGGACAGTTACCAAGGAACGCTTTGACATCTCCCAGGAGATAGAGGGCATTACATTGGATTCCATGCAACCAGCAGAGCGGGAAGTTAGCAAGCGGCTCACCTCTCCAGTCATTAACACCTCCCTGGATACATCAGCCATTGCCTTTGAAAGGTATAGTATATTTCTTTATCTTTGGGGAAAATTATGTCAGTTTGCCAACTTTTAACAGCTATGTATATATTTTAGCAGCTGACTAAAAAAAAATGATATACCAGAACTTTTGCAATGCTATGCTCAGCGGGTTAAAAAAGTTTCATAGCTGTTGTCGGTTTTTTCTTTTACAGCTTTTGGCTGCGATAATATCATCTTAGAAGACATCAACAATTAATGATTGGTAGAGTAAGGGAGAGTTTACAACATCCCATATTTACAAATGATACAGCAAAGTTAGTCATGCCTGAAAATGTAGGGTGTGCAGCTCAGCAGATCTTTATAAGGCAGTATAGATTTTTAATTTTCAGGAAATTCTCGTGATCCTTTTTACAAGAAAAACCATTGCTTAAAAGACAAGTACAGCCAAAGTTAATTTGGCTGTACTTTAATGGATCGCAGGAGTGCAGTTCATTCTACACACCTATAACCTGTTTTCAGCCATCAGTAGGCTTAAGTCTGCTGTCGGCTTATGTCACCCCAGCCAGTTCAGGCTGGGGAAAGATCGTGACCATATGGTCGGGATCCACCCAGAAGCTTGGACCGGCACATGGCTCAGGCTCCGCCTAGTGCTTCTTCTCTGCTTTGCTGGTGGTTATGCAAGTGAATTTTTGTTAGTTTGCCTTGCAGGAGCTGAGCACAGGTTCTCCTTAATGCTTTCAATGCCAGACTCTGCACTCCACTTTTAACCTAAACGTGGGCCAATGGTTTGCATATTTTAACCTACAGCATTTCATTTTTTTTTTAAAAGGACCCCCCCCCCCCCCCCCCAAAAAAAAAAAAAAAGACAGGACTAGTAAAATAATAAGATGTTGCAGATGTTTTCTATTTTTTTACTCCTTTGACACTTTTTAGAAAGTTCTGACTGCTTATTGCTTTATGGCTCGCTAGCACTTTCCAGATTGGTTACCTTCAGTGTTTACATTGGGGAACTGTACTCAGACCACATGGCAGCAGGGCTGGTCTTTAATGCTTGCTTCAGGTAGCAGACCGTGCTTGTATGTGCCATCCTTGGCACATGGTGCAACAAGTGTAGTTGGTCACAGGATGCTGTACAGGTCCACAGCTGTGGTTCATCCCTATGGCACCCAGACCCTGAAGATTCCTTTGAGGGTATACCCACTTTGATGGGAGAAGCCTGGACCCTGGCCTCGACCAGTGTTGTGGGAAAGATAAGAGAGGATTTCCCTGTACCTTTTTACTTAACAGTTCCTGGCTATACATGTCATGTTTAATCATTACTTGGACCTGTAGTACAAACTACACTGTATATCCTTTTATCCTGCAAGACATGCCGCAGTGCTTACCACACAAGTTTTTTTTGAAGGCACAGATTATTGGGTGTGTGGTGGTTTTTTTTTTTTTTTTTTTTTTTCCCCTAGATGTTATTTTTTCACTTTATATGCCTTTGAAGGTAATGTTTAATATAGCATTTATCAGTTTAAACTTGGCAGCCTTTTTTTTTTTCCACCTCAATCCAGAAAGCTCCCTGGCTGGTAATGTCGTACTTTTAAGATTCAAATAAAATACACTTCCGTCCACCATTTTCTATGATGATATTTGCTGTCTCTTCTGTTGCCTAATACCTCGGAGACACAGCCACAGGAATTCTGTTTCCACAGTGAACTTTCTTCTGCTATGGAAAATCTTGTTCTTGCCTTCAGCCCTACCAGTCTGCATAGACTGCATAGTGAATGCAATTTGTGAAATCTCCAGAATATCCTTAAAATTATGAACATATGCACAGAAAATATGTGCTAGAGCAGGAGTGTCAAACTGGTGGCCCTCCAGCTGTTGCAAAACTACAAGTCCCATCATGCCTCTGCCTTTGGGAGTCATGCTTGTAACTGTCAATCTTGCAATGCCTCATGGGACTTTTAGTTGACAACAGCTGGAGGGCCACCAGTTTGACACTTGTGTGCTAGAGCTTGGTCGGCTGACCTTTCTGGGAAGGAAAGGGTGCCTTTTTCTACTGCCCTTTTTGAAGGTGAAATCCTCTTTTAAAAAAAATCCTTTGGAATACATTGAGGTGGTTATGGAGGGTAGGGGGTTCCTACCCCGCTATCCACAATTGCACCTCCATGTTTTTGTCCTCTTCCTCAATATATACAGTGTGATCTGTTCACCCCCTCCAGGCATTATCTACAGCTGGTTCATTCTTTTGTGTTAGATCCTTTATCTGTAAGTCCACTGGACATGTTAAGCCTTCTTCACAATGAAAGTTTGCCCCTACCCCTTGTGGCCTTTATTTCACTCTGTCTTTGGAGGTACCAAGAGCCTTTATTGCTGTCTTCTTTTTGTTGTTTCCTTATAGCTCCTTGCAGCTTTACAATCACAGAGGGTGGTCATCTCCGTCCCCTTTAGGAAGAATTGCAAGCAATTTCCAAATCCTGCACAAGGCCCCTTGTCGTTTTTTAGGGACAAGTCTGAATCCTTAAATCTGACATCTGTCCTAATTACTGCAGTAGCTAGTCTACTGTAGACCTGTCATTATATCTCTCATAAAAGAGCTTTATTTCTATTTTTAATAGCAAATGTGACATGATGGGTTATACTCCCCTTCTATTCACTTATCAATGTAGTCCTTGCTTTGGTGAAAAAAATCACCACACTATATGGTGGTGGCCTAGGGTGTCTTGGAGACCTTTCGCTACAAGGCTCTTGAGCCTAACACTTTGAAACATTTGTAACTCAGTATATTAACACCTCATGTGCATGAGTATGGTGGACTGTGGTCTATTCTTCACGTGCACTCCTTAATTGGCACAAACCAGAGATAATTCAAACCTTGCTGCCCTCTAAGGACTAGGGTTTTACTGATGGCAACTGCAAAAAAAAATAAAAACAAAAAAGAGGGGTTCACCAGCCTAGTGCTTTACCCCATGGATACTTTATTCAAGATCTATAAAAAAAACATTCTTGCAATCCATGCAGGTTCACAGCAAATCAAGCTTCTATTCCGTAGTATTCAGTGGTTTGTCAGACCCAAAACATTCCACTCCCAGAAAGACGCTGTCCGAGATCCAAATCGGCTTACACATTTTGAGAGTAAATCCTCTTCCCCAAAGCCAAATAACCAGGATCCTTCCCTTACAACCTTCTGTTCCCTCCTGGCCATGTCATGAGAACCACAAACTCCTCCCACAAAAAGTGGTAGATACACGCTCGATTAATCTCTCCCTAACTGGAGAGGTGTTCTAGTCTCTCTTTTTACTCTCTCCAAAACTATATTTAAAAAAAAAAAATTCCTTTAGTCATACTTTGAAAAATTTCTACTAGATCTAAAAAATAAAATTATATAATTGGGCAGCACAGTGGCTAAATGGTTAGCACTTCCACCTGGCAGTACTAGGGTCGTCGGTTCGAATCCCAACCATGGCACTACCTGCCTGGAGTTTTCATGTCCTCCCTGTGCCTGCCTGGGTTTCCTCTTGATACTCCGGTTTTCTCCTATACTCCAAAGACTTGCTGGTAGGTGAATTGGCTCCTGTTTAAATTGGCCCTAGTATGTGTATGTATGAATGTGAGTTGGGATCTTCGATTGTACACCCCTTGAGGGTTAGGGACTGATGTGAATGTACAATATATATGTAAAGCGCTGCGTAAATTGACGGCGCTATACAAGTGCCAATAATAATAATATCAGGTTATTAAATGACAAACATTTGTAAACTTTAAATTGTGCCATTTTGTGAAATGGTAAAAATCGTAGGTCCACATCTGTGAATAAGTAACTTCTAAAAATCTGAAGGTTGGGCTCACACTTATGCGTTGTGGTAGTGCCCAATCCGCAGTGCCGTGTGTGTTAGCTGCACTATAATATGAGTCTGCTAGTGTGAATAGACCCATAGGGAGAGACTTACTAATACTGTTGCACAGAATATGGTGCAGCTATGCATAGTAACCAATGAGATTGTAGGTTTTATTGTCAAAGCTTAGTTGAACATACGTTAGAAGCTGATTGGTTACTCTGCACAGCAGCACCAGATTCTGTGTGCACCATCTTTAGTAATTCTACCCCATAGCATGTTGGTGCACCACAGTGCAGTAATACATGTAGCTTGCATTATTACATTGTGTGTAGTGCACATATGTGTGCTGCGTGGGGAAAGTTAGGCAAGGGGTAGTATTTCAGTTTTATTTAATTAATTTTTTTTTTTTTCGGGGGGGGGGGGGGATATCCTAGGTCTAAGCAGACCCCTAATATTTTAATTTTGAGATACAGAAAGAGATATGGGACAAAGGGTCCTCATCTCTTTCTACTCTGTAACCCAACACTTGCTAATGGAATTGAAATATTCAGTAGAGGTTGCTTCACAAACAAAAAGAAATATGACTTGTGTTTACTATCTCTTCTGAATGAACATAGAGTTGCTCACTACAGCAGAGAATGCAGAGGATAATACTGCTTACTGAGGTGGCAGTCCTATCCTATGTCCTTGGCAGAGAAAAGGTTAAAGGGAACCTTTACTGAAAGACATGCTACTTTCTAGTATGTGAAAGCCAGAAAACTAGCAATCTCATTTACCCTCTGGCTTCAGTACTCTCTCCCTTTTACTTGTATGCTCATGAGCATGTCTTACTTTACAGATATGCATACTTGTTCCAGATCATTTACTCAAATCTTATGCAACCCATACAGAGTACTAGCCAGACAACTAGCATCTTCAGAAAGCGGACTGGTGATGGCAGCCCCCTATGTCTGCTAGGAAAGCGTCACTCTGAGGCTACATTCACACTTGACTTTATTTCTAACTCCTGCCAAACGCCATTTTTAATGCTCCCCAAACTCCCTATGCTCGTTTTTGAGGCATTTGAGGCATTTGATAGGCATTTGCAAAGCGTTAAAACCGTGCCACAAACGCCTATAATGAAGTTTATTGGTATTAACGCTCTGCAAACGCCTGCCAGGCGTCATCATAGACTTGAATGGGAGGCTTCAACTTCTGACACTGTGTGCTGCCATGTACAAAATTTTCATAGGCATTTGAGAAGCATTAAAAACACTTCCCAAATGCCTGTCTGATACCTGTTGACAAAGCTAGCGTGAACGTAGTCTAAAGCTGGGCATATATGTGAAGAGGGAACATCACACAATAAATATGATTCTGGTAAAGGGGAAAGGTTTTTTCAACAGACTGCTATCAAGTGTAATAGATTAAAGCAGAGCTGCATATAAGGAACCTAATTCCTAATATATCCTTTTTCATGGAAACTGCAGTTTAGCATCTGTATTTTTTTTTTTTTCTTAATTTACTGTGCTGAGCGTGCTTACCCTTGACAGCAGCTTTGTGATATATTTTTTTTTTTTTTTTCCAAAGAACCAAGGCAGGTTTTTGGGGATGGAGGACTGATAAAGAAGAAAATGTAAATAGTTATGAAGCAAAGGTAAGAACAATAATGGCTTATGTCACAAATGTTTGTTAATTTTCTTTTTGCTGCTTTCCTTTTTTATTTCTTAGTAATTTGTTGCTTGGTATACATTTTGGGTTTATTCTCTTCTTTCAAGGTTTACTCTGCAAATAATGTCAATGTTATCACAAAAACACGAACTGAACATTTAACAGAAGAAGAAAAGTCACGGTATAAAGGTAACTTGCCAGTTCTTTCATGTTATGCAACAGCTGTACATGAATTTCATTAGGTTCTCGGTCACACCGAATCTGATTTTGAAATTTCAAGGTTGGATGTCAGTCCGACTTCAGGTGCGACTTGGAAGACATCTGTGTGACTTCATGCACAGATGTCTATGTACAGTTGTGTTCAAAATAATAGCAGTGTGTTGAAAAAAGTGAATAAAGCTCAAAATCCTTCTAATAGCTTTTATTTCCATACAAACAAATGCATTGGGAACACTACACATTCTATTCCAAATCAAAACATGAAGAAAAATATATCAAATTTGTGTTGTTCCTCTAAAGAAATTGAAGAGGAGTGACTATTAGACTGTTCAAAAAAATAGCAGTGTTTTGTATTCTTCTTTACAAACTCAAACATTCACTATATAAACTGAAAAATGTTTGAAGATTTTGCTTTCCTTTGAATCACTTGATGAATATTTAGTTGTATAAGCACTGTTTTTTGAGAACTGCTGTACATCTGTTGCATGGAGTCAACCAACTTCTGGCACCTGTGAACAGGTATTCCAGCCCAGGATGATTGGACTACATTCCACAGGTCTTCTCTATTTCTTAGTTTTGCCTCAGAAACTGCATTTTTGATGTCACCCCACAAGTTTTCTATTGGATAAAGATCCGGGGATTGGGCTGGCCACTCCATAACGTCAATCTTGTTGGTCTGGAACCAAGATGTTGCAGGTTTACTGGTGTGTTTGGGGTTGTTGTCTTGTTGGAACACCCATTTCAAGGGCATTTCTTCTTCAGCATGACCTCTTCAAGTATTCTGATGTATTCAAACTGATCCATGATCCCTGGTATGCGATAAATAGGCCCAACACCGTAGTATGAGAAACATCCCCATATTATGATGCTTGCACAACCATGCTTCACTGTCTTCACAGTGTACTGTGGCTTGAATTCAGTGTTTGGGGGTCGTCTGACAGACTGTCTCCGGCCACTAGACCCAAAAAGAACAATCTTACTTTCATCAGTCCGCAAAATGTTGCGCCATTTCTCTTTAGGCCAGTCAATGTGCTCTTTGGCAAATTGTAACCTCTTCAGCACGTCTTTTTTTTTTCAACAGTGGGACTTTGCGGGGGCTTCTTGCAGATAGCTTGGCTTCACATAGGCGTCTTCTAATTGTAACAGTACTCACAGGTAACTTTAGACCTTCTTTGATCTTCCTGGAGCTGATTGTTGGCTGAGTCCTTGCCATTTTGGCTATTGTTCTATCCATTTGAATGGTAGTTTTTTGCTTTCTTCCACGTCTTCCAGGTTTTGGTTGCCATTTTAAAGCATTTGCGATAATTTTAGCTCAACAGCCTATCGTTTTCTGCACTTCTTTATATGTTTTCCCCTCTCCAATCAACTTTTTAATCAAGGTATGCTGTTCTTCTGAACAATGTCTGGAACAACCCATTTTCCTCAGAATTTCAGAGAGAAATGCACTGTAACCAGCATGTACAACATTTGCTGCCTTCCTTCCTTAAATAAGGGCAATAATTGCCACCTGTTTTTCAAAGAATGAATGGCCTCACTAATAGAACTCCACACTGCTATTATTTTGAACATGACCCTTTCAATTAGTGATTCAATTACACAGAATCAGCAGCATGCATGTCATGACTGTTGGGTCTGTTGGATTTCTATTACTCTACTACACCTGCTAGTAAATTATTTGCCATGTAGAAATATAATTTCTACCAAAAACAGTGATTGATCAGGTTAGTGATGTCTGACTGCTATTATTTTGAACACAACTGTAAGTCGCTCCTGAACGTACAAAAGATGTGCAGGAAGTATTTTCAAAATTGGTTTGACTGTTGGAGTTGGAATCACACCGATTTTACCGCTTCCATTGCAGACAATAGGGTGCAATTTGTCACGCAATTTGAAACTATCAAATAGCATGACAAGTTGCACCGGAGTGACCGGGGACTAAATCTACTTAGCTGACTTCAGTACTCTTTTATGCTTTAGTATGTAACTATTGCTTTTAAGTTCTTTGACCATTTCTAAAATTAGCTTACAAACAAAAAATCTAATAGCAGATGGATTGTAGTTAGGTTTTAGTCTGAAAATTAAATTTCATTACAGTCTACCAAAAGACCTCTGCAGAAAAAGCAGTGCAGAAACGTATGCAAACTGCATAGGTGTGAACCTAGCCTACTACAGAAGAGTAAATGCTTAGGTTGAGTTTGGCCTTACAAAGTTGGCACTAGAATATACACATAATTATACAGTATATGTAAAGCCACCACTGATGGGTAGAAATAAGAATTGGTGCTCCAACTGATGGAAGGTAGGACTAAACTTCCTTTTACATGTGTCCCACATGTGTTGTAGCATGTTTGTTCCTAGTTTACTTTAGCTAACTAGGCAAGGTCCACAATCTATGCATTACATCCCAAATTCAATGAATGTCCTGGAGTTTCACTGCTTTTATGGGACTACTCCAATAAATTGAATCACAACAGGAAATTGACAATGCTTAATACACTGAGCCTTTAAGGCCCTCATCTGTGAATTAAACTCTGTCCTTTCAGTGTGATTCAAAGAAATGGGATGTACCTGTTGATGTAGTACAGCACTGGGACCTTTGCAACATGTATGTTGTAATAGCTCCAAGCCGACAGTATTTCATCGTAGTCTCTTACACTGTAGTTTCAGGCGCTAGCAGAGGCAGAGCACATCTCGCTCCAAGATGCAATATAGCGTACAAGTACCGCCGCACACTGTGTTCTACTCTGATGTGAAGTGAATGAAAGACAAACTTCAGCTCCAGTCCCTATCCATTGGTCGCACCCCTCTGACATTTTTTACCTACATTAGGCTTAATCGTAGAGTTACGATTAAGCCCAATATAGGTGGAAAATGTCAGAGGGGACCTGAGTTGAATATAGTCTTTAGTTCTCTTTACATTGGAGTAGAATGCAATGTGCGGTGGTGCTCGTATCTAAAATGTTGCAGTATTACTTTCCACAAATTATAACATGGTAAGTTATGGATGGGGCTTAGCGATAATCATTATTCCAGGAAATATATGCATTTATAAAGTACTGCCTGAAATTTCAGATGTACTAAGAAAGGTAGTTCCTCCGCAGCCAATAGTGGCTTTAGAAGAGTATTAAAGGCCACTGATTTTTTATCAAGCTCTGAGCAATCTTTTATACATCTGTTTTTGGAGATGGCTAGAAAAAAGTGCAGGACACATGGCCAAAACTTTTTATACATGCTCGCATATGGAGTAAAAAATTTTTTTTTTTTTTTTTTTTTTTTTTTTTTTAATCCTATTTTCCTTTTAGCTGACAGAAACTTTTTGGAGTCGTTACTTGGAACCGTGGAGCACCAGTTTGGAGCTCAGGGGGTAAGTGACACAGCTGAATCATGTCATATTTGGGGCTTTAACACTCCTACAAGCTTTTGCTAGAGCTGGGCTGGACATAGAAGTCACCAGACTGCTCTAACTTCTAATGACAAAAAGGTATTTAGCAGTTTATATTTACTAAAATAATTGCACATCCATCTTCTGTTCTGAAACGTTTTATACTCCTTTCCTAGGCTATTTGCTGATATTTTTCCTATGGAAAAGGATTTTAAAAAGAAAATATCTGTTCTGGCAGAAGATCCTGCCATTTCAGTTCTCAATAATCACCTTACAATTTCTAGTGTGGATGTCCCCATTTTAAGGGTTCCATTGCTTTTTCAGTGACATTCCAATAGGCTTTTTGAAGTCCTTTTTTTTCTTGCAGGTCCAGCCTTGCAGCCTGCTATTGCTATCATGTCTGTTTTCCAGACCATTACTAACTAGACAAGATGCATGAACAGAGACCAGGGACCTATCTTTGAAGACCCTGCTGTCTTAGAACAATTACAGCTGATAACTTTGGTCCTGTTGAATTTCAGCTGATACCTTCAGTTTTGTGTTGATGCTCTTGACAAGTCTCAAGAATCTTTTATCTTTGCACATACACAGGGATTTTATAGCTTAAAGCTTGGTCTGCTCAACATGCTTGAGAGAAACATCATCTACATATGTCCTTTGAAGGTAAATGCCTCTGTGGGGAATCTCTTGATAAGTCTCACAAGGAAGTTACTGGAGGTAAAGTACCCCTACCCCACAAGAAAAAGCCTAGGTCTTCTCCCACTCCTAGGCTTTTACCTCTACTCCAAGAAAAGGGTCTTTTCTTTCTTCTAAGGCATCAACCTCAAAACCAAGACAGAACGCTACCATTTGTTGCAAGCCCTTGCCTACTAAGCCCACTTAGCCATCGCAGAAGCCCCCCCCCCCCCCACAATAAAAGGGCACCCCCACTCTTTGGATTGGGGGGATGTCTGTTGGCATTTGTGCTAGTCTGGACCTGGATCTTTGGGTCCAATCTGTCATTTCAGGGGAGTAAAAGATCATTTCTATTCCTACTCCCTCCTCTCTTTTTTCCTTCAAGGAGTGGTTGTACCAGTTCCTTCTGCAGAAAAGTTCCTGTTCACAGTACCAAAACCCTATCTTCATTTTCCAATCACGCCAACGCTTCCTGTGTTTTGCTGTTGGATACGATAATTTCCAGTTTGTGGCACTGCCATTCAGGCTTTCCTCTGCACCTCGAATGTTCACAAAAGTGCTTGCCCCACTTCCATCCCTAAGAACCAAGGGCATTCCTGTCACAGGTAACCTGGACAGCCTTTTTCTGAAGGACCCCTCAGCTAGGTCCTTATCTGCCAACATCTAAAGAACCATACAGTTCTATACTTCAAACCTTTGACTGGATAATCAACTTTTCTATGTCTGCCCTCCTCCAGCATTCTCATTATCTGGAGTACCTAGGTCTAATCTTGGACACAGCCCGAGCCACAAAATTTCTCCTTCAAGACAAGATTGCCTCCCTAAGAGTGAGGTTCTTGAACTATCAGGTTGCAACATCATCCCTAATTTTGCGTCTGCATGAGGGTTCTGGGCCTCACGGTGACCTCCTTCAAGGCAGTTCCCTTTTGCCCTTTTTCTCTCTAGTCAGCTTCAACCTAACAAGACATGGAAAAAGCAAATACAATCCTTCGATCACCCAGTGCTTTTATCCAGTCAGGAGAAGATCTTACTGACATGGTGTATCCCCTGGAATTGGGGAAGTCATTCCTTCACAAGACTTGAATGTAGTAATGATAGATGCGAGCCTTATAGGAGTTAATGCAATGATTGTTCATGAGACATGAAACTGAGAGCCATCAGACTGCTTCTATAACATTTGATGTCCCATCTACAAGGTCACCCAGTAGGGGAACAACTGGGCAATGACACAGCAGTGACCTCTCTACAGTCCACATTCAGGGAATGGACAATTGGCAAGTGGAGTTTCTAAGCCATCAACGCCTAGATTTGGGGAGTGGTCTCTGAACCCAGAGATCTTTCAAAATCTGTCAAAAGTGGGGAAAACTAAATGTGGACATCCTAGCTTCCAGGTTCAACAATAAGCTGAGCAAATTTGTTGCCAAGACTAGGGATCTTCTAGCATTCGCATTAGATGCTCTGCTGATTAGATTCAATTCCATATGGTTTATGCCTTCCCTAAGGGGAAGATCCTTCCTCAACTGCTATGCAAAATAGAGGAGAGGGTCCTAGTGATTCTCGTTGCACCAAATTGCCCCAGAAAAATGCGGTAAACAGACAAACTCAGACTTCTGGTGGGAAAACATTGGCTTCTTCAAAACAGACCATTCTTATTGGCTCAGGCTCCGTTTTTAATTCTTTCTTCCATGGCTTTATAGCATGACTGTTAAAACCCAAGTCCTAAAGGATTGGAGATGCTGACTTAATCATTACCACTTTCCTCAGAGTAAGGAAATCCAACTCTCACAAGATTTACCATCACAGATGGATCACAGATGGAAGGCCTTTTTTGCATGGTGCGCAGATAGAAGGCTTAACCCTAGTTTTACTCTATCACTTGTATTCTGGGCTTTCTTAAGTCTGATCTTGACCAGCGCCTAGCCCTCAGTACCCTCAGGGGAAAGGTTTCTTCCTTCTCTATTCTGATAGTGTGACCTTCTGTATCACCTTGGGATCTCAATCTATGCTTTCTGCTCTTCAGAGACCCCCTCCCCTTTAAACTGATAATAGACATTGGAAGACCTCACCTTTTTATGGTTGCCTGCTTGGTCATCATCTAGTCCATTAGACATGTTTCTGAGGTAGCTGCTCTTTCTTGTAAAGAGCCTTTTCTTGTTTTGCTGAAGGATAAGGTGGTTATGAAGCTAAATCCTTCCTTTTTGCCTAAGGTGGTCTCTTCCTTTTACCTTAGTGAGGATATTGTCCTCTGTTTCCTCTATCCTGCTCCAAAACCTGGTAAGAAAAATGTTTGTATTTGGATATAACTGTCGGGCTCTTCCTGAAAGCTACAGCTTCTTCACAAGACTGAGTTCCTTTTAGTCTTACTCATGTCCCTCATTTAGAGTCCATTACACCAGAGCTGCTGGTATCTTCTGGGCTTTTCATCATCAAGCTTCTGTATCCAGGGTTTTTAAGATCACCACATACAGTACGTTACAAGACACAGGACAGGTCCTTCACTCTGTCTTGACCATTCCTTATTGCTTGCTAAAAAAAAAAACTGGTGCTTTCCTGAATGGGCAGGGTTATAGGAGGACACTCTAGGGGTGGCAGCATTTAGTCACTTGAAGGTAGCAACATATAGCCCATGATCTATAAATACCAGTCCTGTACTGAACTCTGTGATAAGTAATTTACAGGTAAGACAAAATTACTATTTTTAGCATTGGATACAATAGAGAGGAGAGGAAACGACTTGTGTTTTAAAAAAAGCAAACAAACAAGAAAAAACAAATAAGTGTCCTCTTTCGATTGAAACATTTCCCCTATATTGTACTGGTGACAACTTAAAATGTTGAGTTTTATCTCACTTGGCCACCAAGATAAACACAGAGAAGGTGATTTCACAGCAACATAGACACGGAGAGCAATAATTCTTGACAGAGGTTCTCCCCCTTTTTCAGTCTTATCCGAACTACAAAAAAAGTTTTGGATATAGATACAAACACATATTGTACATGACACTTATGGGTAAGTTGAATATCTGACTTTGAAATTGTCTAAAATACGAAGAATTTATCAGAACATTTATTGTTCATAGGACCTTACTACAGAGTTTGCCACAGCTAACAACCCTACAGCTATTACTCCTGAAGAATATTTTAATCCTGAGTTTGATCTTAAAAACAGAGACATTGGGAGGCCCAAGGAGTTAGCTATCAGGACGCAAAAGTGAGTAGTGATGTAAAGTTTGCAGTAAGTTTGTTTTTTGTTTTTTTTTGTATTTAAAAGATGACTTATTCTATGTGGAATGTCTTTATGCCTTTGACATTTGAAATAGAAGTGCTGGGTGTAATAACTAAAAGCAAGTCATATACATGCACACAATCAACATGCAGGTACCTTGTTAATCATCATTTGAACCATTACATATTCTACTCATGTGAAAGACCATCTACCAAGTGAACACCTGCCCCGGCACATCATAACATTTACCTGGCACTCCAAGAAATAATCCAACTGCAATATTCTTGCACTCTCAAAACCTCCACTTTTATTATCACACGACACACAGGAGGATATATCTTATAGTCATCACAATCTGCATAATAACACACACCAATAATAATGTGAGCATTACAGCATGAAATAGACACATCATTTGACAGCTTCACAGCATAGAATAACACTACATTACCAAAGTTAGAAGCTGGAAGGAACAAATCCCATCGGAACCATACTGTCCAGGGGGTCATGGGGAAGCCGATGCCACGACCAGTTGATGATCCCATATAGCCTTTGCAAAAATCCCAGCATCAGAGCGTCCTCTGGCCACTAGGGGGGCTTCCTCCTGGTCTTGCCTGGACCTCCGGCTTTTAAACCATTTTTCTGGAAACTGTCCAATAGTGGGCGGGTGCCACACCCACCATAGGAGGAGCTAACAGAAGGGTTCCATGAGGATAACAGAGTCACGTTTAACCACCATATTCATTATCACTTTTGCTTCTTCTCTACCCTAAACTTCTACTCATCTACCCCAAACTTAAGGATTTCCAACTTCTCAAGCAAGTAGACCTCTTTAAACAGGTTTTTTTCTTCTAATGTGACATACTAGATGTCATAAACACATTCAATTTCCATAAACAAGTTTTTATTTTGCTCTGAGCAGAATATCTTGTGACTCTGTTCCTTTGGCCTAGAGAAATGACACACCAGTCACCTCTCATGCCCCTGGCATTTAGGCAACAATGCTTTTATTGTAAAAAGTACCCAAGAAACAAAGGGCCCAAGGCCAACACATTTCATAGGCATTACAACATTGTAGCAAGAACTTATCAATATGTTTCCACAAAGTCTATATATACACAAAATCTAAGTTTTTACAGAAAGAAAACTATTGCAGCAGGCAGGCACATCAATCGGACAGGTTGGATCATTTTGGAGAATGCCCTTATTAAGGTCTCTGCAAATTAATAAAAATGCACAATACATTACCTTAATGGGCTTGCTCACACTAGGCCATTTTTCATGCAACACAGCTCATGTTTTTCGCTGCATGAAAAAAACATTTACGAGTAGATATCCTATTATTTCCTTTGGGGTTAGTTCAGATCTATGCACTGCAGTTTAATGGGAAAGAAAAACTTTATGTTCCCATTCATGTTTAATACCTGTGCATTACCACGCATGCTACAATGCACATGGCACAGTGTGGATTCAGCCTAAAGGCAAGCTTATCGATGTGTGCCTCCATTTGGTATTTATATTGGCTAAAATCTCAGTCTTACAAAGGTTTGCTGGTCCTTATGTGTGAACACCATAATACATTGATAAAACCTGAACTTGGGTTTGTCTTGCTAATGCTTAGCATATTATTTATGATGTGCTCATTAGGTTTCATAGTACGCTGACAGCATCAATTCTGTATTCTGACTAGTTTTAGGTTCATTAACATGATTGTATAGGGTATTTTTTGTTGCTAATGTTGTAATAAAAAAAGATGCTATACTTTGCTCTGTGCAGCAATATTACCACCTCTTTTGGAGTGTTCCTCTGCTGCTGTCTGCTCCTTGTTCCTCCTAGTGCCCCAATAGCAAGCTGTATTTTTACCTTCATTGATGAAAATATAAGGCTGTTGTTAGAATGGTTGTGTGTGGGTGGTTTAAATAAATAAAAATAAAATGTGTGTGTGTGTGTGTATATATATATGTGTGTGTGTGTGTGTGTGTGTATGTGTATGTGTGTATATATATATATGTGTGTGTATATATATATATATATATATATATATATATATATATATATATATATATATATATATATATACACACACACACCCCCAAATCTCCATTTCTGGGGTTCCCCACTGCTTGTTATGGGGGCACTTGTGTGTGCTCGATCCTGAGTCGGGCAGTGCTAGTCTATTGACACACACAGTGCAGCCTAGGACCCTCCCCCCACTCCCTTCTAACAGGCTAGTGGCTTCTGCTACTGCCTCCATGTCCAGTGAGGAGAGCTGCACTGGATTGAGATCGGGCTCGGGTAAGAGGGGTGGAGAAGCTGAACGTCAAAGGTTTGTTACCTTTAATGCAGTCACCGCAATAAAGTGATACTAAACAGATTGCCATAATTAATTGACATAAATCATATACGAGGGGCGTTCAAGTCAAACCAGGACTTTTAATTTTACAGGTATAAAGAGGGATGCTAGTGTGGCTGTACTACATGCAGTAGTAAGTGGTAAGTGTGTATTATTACTGATAGGAGGCGCACATGTCGCAGGCCAGTTCAGAGACCTTTAATCAGGATGGCAGACAACCGTGTTAGTGCGTGTGTGTGTGGTGGTGACGTTTCTTGTGAACGAAGGTGTAAAACCTGAGGATATCTACAGAAGACTTAAAGCAGTACGCTAATGAGCCGCTCAGCTACAGCAAGACATTTGAATGGTGTAAATGTTTCAAAGATGGCCATCTGTCAGCGGTGATCCCAGCTGTGGTGGTTCCTAGCCCACAGCAGTCATTCCTGTGAACATTCAGCGTGTGGAATGCTTGATCCTGGATAATCGACTCAGAATGAGTAACCTGCCGTGAAATTGCACGAGAAACAAATCTTTCTTTGCTTCACTGAGGACGAAGTGAAGCAGGCTGTCCTAGGATTGTTCAGGCCTACTGACAATCTTTCTATGCCGAAGCTTTACAGGCATTAGTTAAATGCTGGGACAAGTGTATAAATGTAGCAGGAGAGTATGATGAAAAATAAATGCAGTTTTCATTTTTCTTTTTTTATATAAATTCAAAAGTCCTGGTTTGACTTGAACACCCCTCATATATCTTGCCATTGTATTTTTAGTATATTTAAAAAATGCCTCTAAGTAACTTATTCCTGCAGTGCTATTGTGGTCACATGATCTTTCCCTATTCTTTGACAGCTGTGGGGAAAGATTTGTGGGAGGGGCTTCTTTTACTCTGTTGATGTATGCTTTGCAGTAATGTAAACACTGCTTTTAAGGTAAAAAAAAAAGAAAAAAAAAAAAACTTTAGCCTTTACAACCACTTTAATCACAGAATTACAGGATGGTCAACTCTCTTTACATGCATAGTAATATGAAAGTCGATGACACTGCTTCTGGAACATACCTCTTGCATAGGGCAAGGTACTACAGTATATTAGAGCCTAAGCAACAGCCAGCCTGTTCTTGCATGCCAATAATTTGTTTAGTCCAAGCTGGCCTATCAAAATTATTTTAAATTGTCAGTCAACCTGAATTCTTTTTTTACTGACCCATAAGGTCTCCTTTAGGCAGGCAGATGTAAACAGATGTGCAAGAAAATGTTTATGTACAAAATATTTTTAAAAATGTTTTTTTTTTTTTGTGTGATTGCAGTTGAAATGTACACACCTATTTTTTTCAGGTTTAAGGGCACTCTGTGGATGTGTGAAGACTTCCCTCTGTCCCTGGTAGAACAAGTCACCCCCATTATAGACCTGATGGCCAGAACAAGCTCTCATTTTGCTCATTTGAGGGACTTCATAACATTACAGTTCCCACCTGGATTTCCAGTCAAGATAGGTATATGTCCCATTTATACTTGCATGCCAACATGTCTTGAAGGAAAACACTATTGTGGATTTTGGCATTATTATTTCATCTATGTAATATCTTAATAAAAAGCTAAATGCAACATTTATCAAAATTTTATTATTTTTAGCTAGCTTTTTTTTTCCCTTTCGGCTAAGGTTTTCATTAGTCATGTAAGGCTTTATGGCTCAAATTATCTGGTTATTTACTTACTCTATCCACAGGATTCTGTATCTGATATACCCGTGACCTTGGCAGCTTCTAAGCCATCAGCTGCTGAGACTGTCTGATACGCTCTAGCTTTTGACTGCTAAGCTTGCTCCTGAGAAGTCACAGCCCACAGCTATTATTCCCAAATTTGAGAGACTGCTTTGATTCTTAGAAGTGTGGTGCACACCACTTTGAAACTAGAAAATGAGCTTGGTGCTTCTACCAGTGCTGTTTCCATTCTTGGGTCTTTAAAGCCCCTAAGGCTGCAAAGACTTTTACATTTGCACCTGCTGTTCTAACTTGTTCTCTACAGACAATGGAAGAACCTTGACAAGCTTTGCTCTCATAAGCACTTATTAGCCTTGAGCTGTTTGGGGAGGATTTTGTGTAAAAGTGGTCCATAGCCACTGTGGATCCAGTAGTGGCCTGCCTTGACAAAAGGACTACCATACTAGTGAAGGATTCACCTGTCTTTAAAACAATAGTTCACCTTCACCAAAGAGCTGCCAGTGCAGGTAAGGGGTGCCTGTAGATAGAAACAAAGTGGGCAGCTCTGACTAAAGTTGAATAATGTTCTTGCTGTAGGCCATTTTATGTGCCTCATGAAGCCTGAAACGTCTTCAACCTCTGCTTTAAAGGATCAAAATGGAAGCCATTCTGATGATTCTCTTTGATCTGAAATGGCCAATGTTTATATGGTACGCCTGCCTGGTAAGACTCCTGGTGGATGTCTCAAGGATGGATTTCCATCCTGCTTCACGGTCACAAGTGGTAAAGGCATGGCTATTTGAAGCAGGTTTTGGAAGATGGGGGGGGGGGGGCATCTCTGAATATGTGATTCCTACAATAATAAAGGCAAGGAAGGCTACTTCCTGTAAGGCTCTTTAAACTGCAGGCAGTCCTCTTTTTTTTGCTGTTTTCTTAGCCCTGTTGGTGTTTGTTGTTTTGCCCACCCTCAGTTGGGCTGCTTTTAGGTGCCCAAATGTTAAGACTTCTGTATCTCTCAATGGACACAAAATAAAATTATTTTTGTCATTATGTAGTCATAAAATCCTTTTTTTTTTTTCTATTGAGGTACATAGGTGCCACCCCTGTAGGTTTATGGTCATGATCTTGGTACTGCTTTAGCATACAATTGAGGCATGCTAAAAGTGGGAGGAGCTATCCTGGGCTGGCCTACAGTTTTGTTTGCCAGTGTCCAATCCTTTAGGCAGCAGCATAACCTTAAGGGCAAGACTTCCTGTGTCCCTCAATGGACTCCAAGAAAAGGATTTTATGAGGAGTACAAAAATCCTATTTTTTAAAATCAAATGCTACACGCTTCAAAGTAAAATATTTTCTGCTCCAATCTGTATATTTCCTGAAAACAAATTCTTCAGAGTGCATAGTTTCTCTCCACACCTGTAGGATTCAAAGCTCATTTTTACTTTACATAACATATATGAAGTGCTATTTTATGGTTTCTTTATCGTAAATTACAGGACACCGAGCAGACTATTCAGGACTATGTGGGTTATAGGCCACCTATAGGTGAATGGTCACAGGCCAACCAATCAGAGAGGAGGCCTTCCCCTTTTATAACCCCTCCTATAAAGGAAGTACCTGTTTTCTTTCCAGTGTCAGTAAGGTGGATGGTCACTGAAAGTGTTGTTGTGCTCTTGGAGCATACCTGAAAGTCCAGAACGGTTTCATTAGAGAATCAGGGACTTTAATCGGATCCATTCGTAAGACTATGAGCTAAAGTGGATGGTACCTGAGCCTCGCTGGATAAGGAGAAGAGTCCTTTTTACCAGTAATGCAGCCTTATGGTGCTGGACCACGTGCAGATGGAACCCTGTGCAGTTGTAAATCTGACCAAGATGCTTCCAGTGGGGTGCTATACGGGTCCAAGGCAGTAGCCCCTCAGCATGTGGACTGAGTCCTTGAAGGTTTGTATGAAAATGCCCACCATGATGGGTTTAGGTTGGTGCCTGACGGAAGTCGGGGACCTGCTGCGGTACTGTTAAGATATCTCCTTTTTTTTTCCCCTCTAAAGAGAAACAAAGCTTTAAATTGGAGGGAAAAGGAGATGTTTAGTGACTGTGTTTCCACCAGGGGGAGTGCTCACTGTTTCCGAAATGTGCTTGTTCTTTTTGTTTTCAGCCACTAGAGGGGGAGTACAGCCGGAAATGGAAGTGGACATATTTTGTTTCTCTGGAGGCCAGGACACACTTGGGCTGCTGCTGCTGTTGGGGAATCTCCTGTGGCCGGGACACAGAGTGGGCTATTCTGTAGGGGCACATGGGTACTCCCCTGAGGTGGAAATGTGGACCAGTCAGTCAGGAGCCACCCTAGGTGGCTCATAAGACAGCATTTACATTGAGTGTTTTTACTTCAGTACACTACTTGCATAGCTATATCTTGAGATCTTTGTTTATTAGTGAAGGTGCACAGGTTTGCTCTATTGGAAGTAATGTCTTCCAGAAAGCGGAGTGCAGGAGGTGCAGCAGGAAAGGGCACTAATGTACCTCTGCCAGGTCCTGAGGAACCTAGCTGAAGGACCGCTTTAATATCCTCTCTCATCAATGTCCTGGAACTTTGAGTAGTGAGGCTGGCTCTGCGGTATTGGACATCCAGGCTTCAGGGTTGACCTGTAAGGATTTAGTCCAACGATGCCACTGCAGTGGCATATATCAACCACCAAGGAGGTCCCAGGAGTCGAGGTGAACTACATTCTGACCTGGGCAAAGAGATATGTTCCAAGTCTGTCAGCAGTGTTCATTCCAGGTGTCTAAAATTGGCAGGCAGATTATCTCAGTTGCCAGTAGTTGATTCCAGGGGAATGGGCTTTGCATCCTAATGTTTTCAAGGAAATCTGCCAGCGATTGGGTTGCCCGGATGTAGATCTATTTGTATCCAGCTTCAACAACAAGGTTGGTCTTTTTGTACTCCAGGAAATGTATTTTACAGGTAAGCATGTAGAAGCAAATCCAATTTTTATAGTAATGTATCTTTGAAGAGTTTTCCTTTAATAGGCCCCTCAACCCCTTTGAATGAATCCATCTTCATCCCCAATCCAGCAATCTTGGCTCCCAAGATAGCTGCTTCATACTGTGCATGCATATTGCTTCTCCATTCATTCTATAGGAAAGTCATACTCATGGCAGCTTTGTGGTCACAGGCGCTCACTGGATTTCTGCCATAGTTAACAGGTATTTTTTGGCACTTGTTGAACCGACAGAACAAAAATGCTTTCAATGGTATATGTAACAGACAAAAAGGAAACCAATAAGAGAAGTTAACTGTTTGGGTTTACATGCAATTTAATGTATTTTTTTCTTCCCACAGAAATCCCTTTGTTTCATGTTTTAAATGCAAGAATTACATTTGGAAATGTGAACTCTTGTTCGCAAGCAGAAGATTCTCCTGGGACTCCAAAAGGGACACCTGATAATGAAAGTGAGTATTGCTAATCAAAACTAATGTACCAAAATAGAAAACTTTTCATGGCACAGCTAATGATCCGGTTTTCAACCTTGTGCTAGCTCCTATTTTGCACCTTAGATGGCAGGGTCAATTCAGTTTTTGTGATGCTTTATTTAACCACTTCCAGTCCGGACACTTTTACCCCCTTCCTGTCCAGGGCAATTTTCAGCTTTCGGCGCTATCACACTTTGAATGACAATTGCGCGGTCATGCAACATTGTACCCATATGAATTTGTTACCATTTTTTTTTATACAGATCTTTATTTTGGTGGTATTTATTCACGCTGGGATTTTTATTTTTTTTGCTATGTAAATGAAAAAGTCCAAAAATTTTGAAAAAAAGTGTTTTTCTTATAAAAGTTTGCAGATAAATTTATTTATGCATTAAGAGTTATATCATCTCTGAGGACACCACACCCCACCTGCAGGTTTGTCTTTTTTTGCCTCTTAAAGCCATACCAGTTTGGGAATTCACAGCATTTGGTGAGTGTGGATCTATAAAATGCTTTTCACAGAAGATGTGAGCAAGCTGGAAAATTGATAAAGTTTGAGTAAATAATTTTTTCACATTTTTTGGGATATTGGACTTTAATTTTGGACTTTTTTTTTGGACTTTCACATATAATTTGTCACAGTTTTGATTATTTGTATTATTTGCACTGTATTATTTTTATTATTTTTTCTTGATGTTTAGTCAATCGTTGAACAGCAGCATTTCATTATTCACTTAATTTTTCACTAATTTCTTTGGCGCAAGTTTGATACATATTTTGTAATGTTTCGACTCTTATGTTAACCCATGCTAAGAAGATAATGCTGTTGCTGGACTTTTTTTTTTTTTTTTTTTTCCAATTCATATTTTTCATTTGATCTCTTGCTATATAGTTGCAGGTGCTGCACTTCCGAAATTTGAAGTTGATCAGTCCGTCTTTGAGATTCCACCATCCTATCATATCCAGGAGAATGGAAGGAGTCTTCATATGCGGGATGAAGATGATGAAATCATGCAGTTTGCCATTCAGCAGAGCCTTCTGGAGTGCAGTGGAAATCAGGTGAGCTTTCCCTCATGATTATTTGCCAGGATGGGGAAGGAAAAGTCCTTTTGTTTCTCAATCTTTTTTTTTTTTTTTTTTTTTTTTTTTTTTTTTTTTTTTTTTTTTTTTTTAGTCAGGGCACCCTTTAAAATTCTGTACAATCTCGTGGCACCTCATTCTAAAATGTCAAAAACATAACTAACCGTTTTACATACTGCAGCAACATCCACACACGTAAGACACCCAATATTATAATACACGTTTGCACACTGGTATTGACTAGTATTCCAATGTTTTTCTTCTTCATTCAGCTAATGTGACCCCAGTGCTGATGGACAGGGGCAGGGGAGGGGCAAAATAGGAAGCTGTGCAGGCACCCAACATCCTCCTTATCAACTGATGGCGTAATTGGTTGTTAGGACGCCGGCGGCTACAAGGCTGTAATGGTACAAAGCCTGTGGCTTTAAGTAACTAAAAAACAGGCTTGATCCACCCACTGGCTTGTTTACAATTTCCAGGTATTTAGACATTTTGCTCAGGCACCCCTGAAGAATCCTGAAGGCACCAAGAGGTGCCTGGAGACCCTGGTTGAAAAAGGCTGGCCTATATCATGTTTGAGCAGTTTATAAATGGCCTTTAGTGTTTTTGTTGTACATTTAATATTTAGATGCTATTACTATGTATATGTCATGGGCCTATATATTGTGCTCTGGAGCGACATGTTGGTTAAGACCTTAGTATATTCTCCCTGCAGCACTGTAGTCCTGGTAGGCTCATTGTTTTCCACCTTTGTTGGCCATCGTAGGTGTGAATGATGTGGCTCTACTTTTATTGAAGAGTAATTTCAAAATCGCGTAACTGCACAGCCATATGCTTTCACCCATCACGTACATTGCAAAGTTAATAATATGTATTGAGGACACTGAGTAACCTCCCGTAGACTGTAGATTTGGGGAGCAGAGGGCAGCGCTGTAGTGGGGGATAAAGAAAGTAAATCTGTTCCTCCCTGGGTTTTTTTTTTTTTTTTTCTTCTAATTTAAGGAGTTGGGCTTGAAAGTGACATATTCAACACTCCAAAAAGTACCATATGAAGCTCATAGCCTCCTGCAAATCTTCAAAATTCATTTTTTTCTGATGTGCTGTGATACACCATGCTGTTAGAAGTGGGGTGTGTTCATTCTCCATTATCCTACTTTCTGTAGAAATGTAGCTACCCTCTCTCAGCTCCTGAGAAGGGCTATAGATTATGGGATGTGTAGTGTGCCTAGAGCAGCTCACATAACCACAACTAACATGCTCTGCTCATTCCAAACACACAGAATTGGGGGGAGGCTTCAGAGGACATAAGAAAGTGATAGAAAAACTTTTTTTTTTTTAATGAAAAATAGATTACTGAGCGATTAATTAGTGGATGTGCTTGGATTATTTTTGGAGAATAAGGACATCAGTCATTTTAATGCGGTATTAAACACAAAAGCAGACATTTATTATTTTGCAGCTTACCAGTTCTTGGATGTGATTCCTGCATTAGGTTTATTTTTTTAGGCCTTCTTTTCTTTTACACCTGGTGATCAAGTCTGTGGTTTTTTTTCACAGAACAAGCTCTCCTGCAAATGTAGCAGTTAATAGTGTTGAGACAAACCATTTGACACCTCCAGGGATGCTTACAATGATCAGCTTTTGGTTATTCATTAATTCATTCAAACCTTTATCCCTAAAGAAAAGAACACTTGCTGTAAGTGCAGTGTGAGCTGAAGTTTGGCTTCAATTTCCTCTTTAAGTCTGCTAGTACCTCTAACACTCCCCTTTCCCAAGACTGACAATGCTGGTGTCCAAAGGTCCCCCCCTTGTGCTCCTTCATCCAGAGTGGGGGCACTCTAATACAGGAAGTGTGTTACTGGCTAGATTACCAGGTGAAAACAGAGGGGGAAAAAAGTCTTAAAAAGAAAACCAAAGCAGCCACTACATCTAATGAATGGTAAGCTGCAATATATTAATTTTTGATTTGGGGTTTAATACCACTTTAAGCTGTAAATCAGTTTGGCTTAACACAGAAATATTGTGTAGAACAAAATGTTGATTAGAGGTTGTTTTGAACTGATAGACTGGAGGGAGAGAAATATTGCTTTAGAAAATTATCAGTTAAACACATTTGGTAGTAGTTTTAATTTGGTTTTTTCCCATATTCTCTTTTTTTTCTTTATAGCATTTGTCTCCAAGCCAGTCTAATGGAAGTATCTCTTCAAATCAGGGTTTTGATGCTCAGTATGAAAGGTAACATTATATCTACATTAAACGTGTAAAACATTTTATGGTGTGTATACAGTATGTAGCAGATGTTTCTATAAATATACATGTATATTTATATACATCCTTTTCCTGTTCCTTTTCCTGTTTCTTTTCTCTTCCTGATTTTTTTCCTTTTTCTTTTAATTTTTAATTTAAAATGATGGATGCACCGATACCTTTTTTTTTTCCTTTTTTTTCTTTAAATCCGCGAGTACGAGTATCGATACTTTGTCAATTACTTGCCGAGTACTGATACTTTGCGGTGCGATTTGAACAGGAATACAGTTACCTCAATGCTCCTTTGTGAAACCAGGCTTGTGATAGCCTGAGTTCTCACAAGAGTGGTGCAGGAAACCTCCCTACACCGATCCCATGCTGTCACACAAGGAAAAGCCGCTACACAGGTCTGAGGATGTGAAATCACCGTGGCTTTCTCTTCTCTCCTTGCAGGAATGACTGTACGGGCTAGATGGCTTTTGATTGGTCAGCACCGTCACGGAAGCTGTCAATCCCATACTGTCATCCCTGCAATGAGAGGAGAGAAAGCTGATCTGTGAAGCATGTGACAGCAAGGGATCAGTGCAGGGAGGTTTCCTGCACCGCTCCTGTGTGAACTCGGGGAATGACAAGCCAGGGTTCACACAGGAGCAGTGGAGAAACTGGATGTGATTTGGACAGAAATCGCACCACACTCCTGTTCAAATCGCATGCTATTCTTTGCAGTGTGATTTGAGTCTATACATTTTGAAGTATCGGTTTCAGGTATCCAAAGCATTTTCACGAGTATGAGTACTCCTGAAAGTATTTGGTATCGGCACAGATACCAGTATTGGTGCATCCCTATTTAAAATGGTGCTTGTAAAGAAAAAAAAAAAAAGTAAATTTTTTCCGTACCTTGCAGGGCCTTGCAGGAAAGCCTTCTTGCCAACTCTCTAAGTGCCCATTCCAGTCTTAGCAGCCACTCTCAAAGCTATGACAAGGACTTACAGTTTGCTATGGAACTGTCCGCCAAGGAACAGGAGGAACAGGAGAAGCGGCGTCTGCAAGAAGAGGAAGAACTTGCAGAAATCCTGCGGCTTTCTCTCACGGAAAAATAAGCCATGTTGTTTTATTGACATGCTCTGGCAAAGGAACCTCCTATGATACGGGTCTAGCCCTCGCCTTCCACCTACCAGCAGTGATTCCACCATGAGCGAGGGCCAAAAGATCACTCCACAGACTCTGTATCTACCAAAGAACTCTACACTTTTGATATTTTTTAATTTAATTTTTTTCCCTTTATGCTTTTAGGACTTGCACATCGGGGACTCTGCCTCCACCTTGCTGATTTTTAGCTGTGCAAATGTCAGCAAGTTTTCAATGAACAAAGTCTCAGTGATGGAGAACCAACATTCTATATGTAAATGGATTTTGTTTTGTTACACAGACTTTATTTTTCCTTTTTCTCTTTTTATCAGTCAATGAAACACAAGTGTATTCTTACCTTATATAAACTAAGAACTTCGCTCATTGACACTTTATACAGGGTGCCTGACAGAGAGTGTTGTATGTTGGTAAGTCACAGGATATTTCTTTAGGAGGAAGAAACCAGATGTTGGCACTGCTGCATATTTAGGGCTGTTTACAGTGTACGGATATTCGTGTCAAGAAAATATTGAGCTGTGCCCTCTATATAGTTACGTATCCTTTATCCATCTGTATAATGGAGTTGTCTAAAAGGTCAATCCACCTCTAACTGATTTCATTCATTTCAAACTCCCTGCTGAATATTTTTATTTATTTCACAGAGAATGCAGCAGGAGGAATGAAACTGCACAGTGAGAGTGAGGACAGGGCAAGCAATGCCGGTGTGGAAATTTCAGTGCTGCAATACTGTATACTTATGCTGCATAAAAAAGAAGTTGGTGATTCAGCACACCAGCACCTGTCAATAGCAACAGCATCAGTTTTGTGTCGACCCAGATTTTAAAAGGGCATATATTTGTGGAATTCATAGAAGTGTGGCTGATCTTTAAGGATAAGCGTGCTTATGGTAAAGGAAACCTCATTCTAGCCAGACTTTCCTTCTAAATATTATACCTAACTGTTCTGTCATGAGCTCTGCTGTGAAGCTTCCAAAACCTTATTTTCTTTAATAGTTCTCCCCGGCAAGCTCTGCTTTTCTACCATTCCACGGTGCCACAAATTCTATTCTTTCCTACACAAATGCCATCTACTTTTCATCACAGCTTGCATCCTATTAAAGGAAAATTGGTTAGCCATAGCTGACCACTTTTAAAAATGTTAGTTGCCTGGCTGCTGATCCAAGAGCTTTAATTTTTTTTTCGTAACTTGCCCAAAGCAGATATGCAGACCAGGAATTCTGATCTCACTGCTTGTTTCAGTTTTTTACTTCACTTTCCGAATATTTGTTATCTGCGACTCAAAGTGTTGAAGCAAGAGACAGCCAGGCAAGTAGCATTTTTAGTGTCAGCAAAGGAATCCTACATGTTTCTCCTTTAATGTTTGTACAATAGGGATTTTGTTTGCTTTGTTCATAACATTTTTCATTTATTTCCCGGTAATTATCCCACAATCTGATCTGCTGTGTAATTTTTTTTTTTCTTTTTTGTTGTTTTGTTGTTTTTTTTTAAATAAGGAAAAGTGCCACAGTCTATAGAAACCAGTCAGCAATCTGAGTATTTTTGTAATACAGAGCAATGAGCAAACACTGAAAACCAGAGCAGCTAATGATATATGTGAATTTAAAAGCTTAATGTAGCTAGGTTTGAGATGTGGTTACAGTAGGTTACTGCGTATCTCTGCATCAAGTTGTTATAGGGGATAACCCTTTCTTCTAGAAAGTAGCTAGCATTAGGGGTTTTAAAGGGGATCACCAATTTTTATAGAACATCGCCACCAATGGAAAAAAAAAACAACAACTTTCTTCTTTTAAAAATCCAAATTTCCAGATATATAAACTGAAGGAAAGGAAAAAAAGTTAATTATATTGACTTTCATCTCCTAGCCTGTGGTGGAAAAATGTAACAACCTAGTTGCAAGGTGGACCACACCTTATCATATAGGGCTTATTTATAAGGATGGTGCAGAATTGCAAAGTGTTGGCACTTCTCACTTGACAGTGGTTTGATAAGTGCTACCAGACATATTTGTAGATCTTTATACAGCTGTGAAAAAGTAGACAATAATGTGGGTTGGTCTAGTCATCAAAACGGATTACTAGAAGAAAGCAGCACTGAAAAAAATGGCAAAATGGAGTAAAACTGCTAGAACAGATGAAAATGAAGAATATTGTATTACTATACTAATGTATAACGGTTTATAGACTACTGTTAGTCTGATAAAAGTACAAAATATCACCACTTTATGGTAAAAAAATGGTTAAAACAACAGAATTTCCAAGTGGTAAATGAAGAAATGTAAAACGGTGAGCTAAACTGTTGAATGAGATTTTATAAGCAAATTATTTCTCTATAAATAGGCCCTATGTCTGGATTTTTTATATGAGGCCTTCTGTGAAGAAGGGGCTAGCTACTGTTCAAAAGCGGCAAAAGACTCCTTTTTTTTTGTGTATACACTCCATTCGAAGTTAGGTAGTGGAACTGCAATATAAACTCTCCTTGGATAAAAACTCAGTGGGGTTGATTAACTAAAACTGGAGAGTGAAAAACCTGGTGCATCTCTGCAGGTAAACTTCAGTTTGTTCAATTAAACTTTGACGAAAAAAAAAAAAAAAAACCTGGCAGCTGATTGGTTTCTATGTAGAGCTGCACCAGATTGTGCACGCCCCAGTTTAAGTAAATCAACCCCAGTGTTAGAAGCCTGCAGAGCTACTCAGTTTTGACCAGACTTAAAGAAATTGGCTCAGTCGTTGTAGTCTTTATAGAAGTTTTTGATTACAGAGGATGCTTATTCTTTGCTTTTTACTTGTGTATTTTATACCTTCTCATGTAGCCTTTTGATCCTGCAGTTAACACATTTTGTATTTCAGAAAATAAGTGAAAAACTACAATTTAGCCACTGATAAAAAGGAGCTGTTGCCCTATATCAAAAAGCAACAAAAAAAAATACTTGTCTATAAGATTGGCTAACCAGCTTGACTCCTCAGATGGAAAAAATAGGTTTTTGGCCAAGTGGGTGGGGTTAGCGATATCAAATTTGGGTGGATCAGGACAGGGCCAAATTTGTTCTGGGATTCCACCGTTGCCATGTGTGTAGATACCCACCATGCACTGAGATACTTTGGGATGTTGGTTGTTCTGTTAGGATTATTATGTACATGGTTGCTTCTGCCACAAGTTGAGATCAGCATCTTGTCTTGGAACCACTGGCTGCACTACATTTGCACTTGCAGATGTAGGAGACTATAAGTAAAGGCAATGAGCTAATTTCCAGGCACATCTGGACTTTATAAGTGCTTATATTAGTCCATGAGTTTTAAGCTGATAATACAGTAAAATCTAACCGATAACTGATTCCTCCATCATATTCAGTGGAGATGGACAAATCTCCTACTGCTCCTATTGTTAAGAGCCACTGTAACAGATTGGTTGCAGGCACTGTTTGCCTGAAAAATTTCTGTCTGGCTCCTTTTGTATTTTCAGTTGAAGGATGTTGGGTGGGAAGGTGGCAAAAAGGTTCATCAATAATTGGCTGAAATTCACATAGTGTATGGTCATGGCTTGCCTTGTGTAAAATGGCTATCAACGATTGGCGGTGTGTTAGAGAGGATTGTGAATGAGCTCTTCCAAAGTCATTAGGGGTTATTTACTAAAGTTGGTGGGTGCAAAATCTGGTGCAGCTCTGCATAGAAACCAATCAGCTTCCAGGTTTTATTAAAGCTTAATTGAACAAGCTGAATTTAGAAGCGAATTGGCTACCATGCACAGCTGCTCCAGATTCTGAGTGCACCAGTTTTAGTAAATCCCCCCTGATGCCTCAATTGGAACTCAGCTAATGAAATCACTTGCTTAATTTATCTTTCTAAATTATGTATTTTGAGATATATTTTCTGAAACTTTCCAATGGCTTTACAGGGTTAGACTGCAATTTGATATTACTATCATTTTCAGATAAAATAACTAGTGTTTTTGGTTTGGTGGTCCTTTAACACTTTGGTGCTACCTTGTTTGTTTCCAATAACCTAGTAACAATAAATCTTTACTAAATACATAGGTTTTATTTTATTTTTTTTTAAACACGATTGACTGCATTTTAAAGTAGACTTGTACAAGGGGGAAATGGTAAAATAAACATGGTACATAACATACATCCTATGGTTCCAATTCTGCACCAAGGACCTCAAGATCACCCTGGGAGCCCTGCTGAACCACCTGATAATGGATCACAGGCACACTCCCATCATGGACAGTGTGTGTGTGCTCTAACTTTATGAAAATTGATTTATTGCATGGTGAATTTGGAGAATGTTGGGGGCCACTGATCAGAACTATAGGTATGCTCTCACATCTTATAGGGCTTGCAGTTATGATCCATGTTTGTTTTATTTATCTGTACAGGTTCATTTTACACTCAAATCCGATCATATTTTTTCCTGTGGGACAGAAACACTTTTAGGTAGGGTTTTAATAACAATGATCCAGTTGTATTGTAATGTATGTGATCACATTTTCACACTGACAAGCTGAGCTTGTCAAAGACAATCTTCCCCACAAACATGTCTGCTGCCTGCAAAATCTTTTTAGAAAACGTTTGATGTCTGCAAGTATTTTGGAGGATTACATCATAAGAGTGTACATCTCAGCCTTGTGGAAAGGTCACACAGGAACATTTGCTCAATTGGCAGGATTGAAGCATTTCCACTGACATTTGTAGCTTATTGTAAAATGGTTGCACTGAGATTGATCAGTTTTAAACCCGAAAACATAATCTCAGCTCAAGCCAAAACGATGAGGTCTTTATTGCTCTTTGAATATTCAGTGCGATATTTCCATTCACTGCTTGTACTGGTGACACCCAATCACACCCTAAGGTGGGTACACACGGTCCAAATATTCTGGACATTCGGACTGTGTGTACAGCTGTCCTTCTGACAGAAGCTGGTCTAAGGACTGGCTTTTGTCAAAGGGACATGGAA